TTTGCGAGCTCTCGGCAACTTCCTGCAGTATGTCGGTAGACTCCAGGAGACGGCAAATGCATTGATGTGGAAATCCAGCACATGACAGATCAAATAACATTTGTGTAAGGGCCGCCATGCTTAGTCGACAGGACATGCAAGCGCTACCGAAGCAACAAATGCATCTGAAGATGGTCAGAAGCTATTCCAAATCTGCTGAATCACCGCCAGCAAGAAGTTTGATGTTATCATAACGCTTAGTGAAGTAGATATTACGTTCCCTATCAAATTTCTAGATAATCGAAACGATAGAGGAAGGACTTTCAAATGCTGGTCAGTTCGCTTGTTTCACCAACAACATCGAAATATTTCCGTACTCCATTGCAAGTTAAAACTGACCCTCATACCAGTACATAGGTCCGTGCACTCTAATGCACCAAATGGCACTCTGCCCAACTAACTCACCATATGCTGTTTCTGAGGATGAAGAAAACATGATAGTCAAGGAACTGACGATATCGTTTTGCGTACGTATGGTAGGCTGAAAGTGTTACATTGCTCTGGAATAAAGAAACTTGCAAATAGCTCTAGAATGAGATTAAGTAGCGCATTAAATAGACATACGCGCACCAGTCTACTACCAACAGTATCCTATATTTTGACTGTCAATATACTCCATTAGCTGCGCAAGATGCCTGAATATCTGATCCGAGAGGTTCACCCCTGAATTTTCAACGGATTGTGAATTTTGCGACCTTGCGTTTACACCCAGCCAGATGTTTGAAAACCATCACATGTATTGCACCCCGATAAGATCATTGCCTTCCTCGATTTTAGACCTCCGTTCAACTCGTTGTACAGAGCTACACCCAAGAACCCTGATAACGTCTTAAATGCCCTATACTTCAGCACATCAGGCAGAATGAAGGCTGATATCCACTCACCTCCTTTGTTCCATACCAAAGTCGAGTTGAGGCAGGGCTTCCCGATGCTGCTGTTTTGACTGAATTTTGCCATCGACGGAATTCTAGCTACAAACCTGATGAAGGTTTGTAATTGTTGTGTAGACCTGCCGTCATGTGAAAATATTTTACATCTATAGTATACGGAGGATACTGTTTCTGCAAGACAGGATGCAAGCTACTCAAATTTCACTCCATCAGTTGGCGATCAGTGTCCGTAATTATGGTGTGTGCTTTGCACTATCGAAGTGCTTATACAAGATTAATAGAAGTCTGAACTTGCACTCATCCTTGATGGTGAGTCGGTGTACAGTTTTGAGAAGTTTATGTTCGAGGGTGGTCTTATGAGTACTGGTCGCAATGTGAGTGATGTCATCTACAACAATATTTAGAAAGGCATCGTGGCCTACAGCTATATGTGTTAACTTAGGCATCGTCGTGTCATTCACATTATATTGTAAGGGTACCTGTGAAATTTTCTAGTGAAATCAGTTCCGCTCTGCTGTTGGGAAGCGTGGTCTCTCCAAGCTGAGGAATTCCGACAACTTATTTCCCATCGCCGCTGTAGCCGCGAGATTGCTCGGTTCTTGTGGATACAGAATTAAGGCAGTTGTTAGGTGAGGTGGCATGCATTCGGCGTAATATAGACAGTCGAACACAGTCCGTAGTCATCTTGAAACATCGGCTTGGACATACGTTACGTGTTTCGTCCTTGCAGCCCTCAAACTTCTCACTGTTCACTTGTCCAAGACTGGTTGGAAGAAGAGGAGAGATGGTCACCGTAGGATTTGAGATGGAGAATAGCTGTGTCGGGTTAGCATACACCTCCGACGAGATCCAGGATATCACTAAAATCAGCGGCTTCAAGCGGTAGTGAATAAGTCTCGGAATCGAAACCAGGAACTCTCACGCTGCAGTGTCCACGTTTCTTTCCCTGTCAAGATGTAGAAAATACCTGGACAATCGTATCTTCTAAACGGCTTTCTTGACAAAACACCTATTTTCGTTCCTTTCCTTCCTCCCGTGTTCTGCGTCTTCATGAAAGTGCTTCGTTATTTTGAAACCCCTCCGATTGGGGCCTATGTTGCACGGTCCTCATTCTTATAATGATGATAATGATCATATGTATGTCAAGATGATCTGTCTTTCGACTTTGCAGTCGTCAACGAGTTAAGTAAATTAAATACGCCTGAGTTATTGATCCACAATATTTGTTTCACATGTTTTAAACTGTTATTTACTGATCAGTCGAAACTGCATTTTTAAACTCAGATGGTATGCAAGAGTAGATGCAGTATATGGTAATGAATCGATAACAGGAACATATTCACAACAGTCTAAGTAAACGCAATTTGACTAATCTGCTTTTTTGTCAATATCAAACGCAATAAGTAGCCAACTCAGATATACGTTCGTAAATTGAATGAGTTTTCATCTACCCATATTTCCAAAAAAAACGACTTAATGTTGAAATGTGAATCCGTTTGTCCTACTGTTACTAGTTAAGAGGAAAGTTTTGTTGTACAACAAATGAATTTTAGAACATTTGATAGAATTATGTGGATTTTACTAGTGTATTTAGTTTCTTCATAAATGATTGATGGACAGACACGTTGATCTCTGTGCAAATTGTCAAATTTTTTCTTTAGATTGTTGATTTGTTCGAACCTACTGTGTGACTGCGTTTCTCCGGATGCAATAGCTTACATTTCTATCATTTGGTACTATCATCCCAGATTTAGCCAAGTTTACAAGCTCTAGTAATCTGACTAACTCAGATTGACTCTTTCAAAGTATGTACTCAACCCTAACATTACTACATAGCAGGCAGTAAATTAAAATATTTTGTTACATTATGTCAATTGCATCTTAACCCTAACCGATAACATTTTCCACGCTGTGTCTGTAGCTTGGAATGCCAGCCTAATTCCTGTCTTGTTAAGAATTCTATGGGGAGTTTCCTTAGTATGGTAACACTATTGGGTCCTTGAACTCACGACTAGTTGTCTTTCAGCCCTGACTTACACAACTCCTAATTCTCTTTTGACTTCCAAATAACCTTCTGAAGATAGTTGTTGATCGGATTTTTCCAGTTAACCACGTACACTCATTGATTAACTACTTGAATATTCAGCCCGATTGGTCAGACATTTCACTGGGACAAGTATGCTGCATTCGGATGACCTGATATGCGTTTTCAGTACACATACGTGTCTCTAAATGGAAGTAGGTAAACCACATCTTGAAGAATACTCCAATTTTAGCTCGACGGTGACAATAATACGGCTGTTGCTAATGATGAACTCAACAAACTATTGTCGGAACAAGACGTCACTTATCCGGCAGAAACCTAGTGCCATCTCCAGCCTCCTGTAAAAACAACATGGAGGATTACAACTAACCCACAGAAAACTTTTCGAAAGTATCAGTGGGACTAAGCAACTCCTTCAGAACTAACGGGTGTGTGTAAACGTATTTCTGCAGCCTTTGAGCACAATGAGGAGAGGAGGTAGTATAAATATGAACTGACAAAGTCTACACTATGCGTGAGAGCGATTATGGGTAAGGAAACGTAAAAGTCCGCAGCGCTAGGTAGAAGTAGACAATAATTTAGACTGATCAAGCAAACTGAGGCTGTGTTAAATAACAGAGAATAACGGATTCGTGATCTACTCACCGTTAAGACGACAGGGACGATTGGTAGAACACAAAGATCAATTTGATTGACCTCCACATACTATTTCGTTGACGAATACGTAATCAGATACTGAGTGGTATATTGGTATAGAGATACAAACATTTACAAAAGTTGAAAAGGATGTAAGTAATCTCACAAATAACCTCCTTATAATCATTATGTGTCTCAGTAAGGCTTGAGAACAGTAAATTTTGAAAAAACAAGCAGTTTTCAAACCAAGTAACGGGTGTATCATAGAAAGACGATATTCGACCACACTGATCCGGAGATCTAATGACAATGTCTCTCACTTGAGGAAGTGCCGACTAAGTACATCACTGTGTACTGAAAAACCTTACGGGTGTATGAAAGATTACAGTTAAGTTGTGCATGTCAAGTGATTTCCATCAAGGACACGCACTCTCCTTTTTTTTATTCAATTTTATCATAGACGTACTTATGGAGATCTTCTTTTCGTCGTCTGACTTCACAGGGACTGATCTTTTCACAGGAGAACCTTTGGCAGATGTAGAGAACATAGATGAAGATTCTGATAAGATGCATAGTCTTTTGGAAACCCTCAGCGGCAAACTGACAATGTTTGCACTACATTTCTCACCACATAAATGCAAACTGTTGTTCCAGGAGTGTACCTCAGTGCTATCCCGGCTAACAATAAGAAATGAAGTGGTTGAGTGAGTGAACCATTCCACTTACTTCGTAAGTTGGATTAAACGTGACTGATGAAGTCTCGGGACCGATACAAATGACTCTGTTGACCTTCACCAACTTACACCATTTTTGGCACCACCGTGATATCCAATTGTCTATTAACAGCCAAGTGTATGGTATTGTGGTTCGACCTCTCCCACAGTATGACTGTGAAATGTGGCCATGAAAGGTGGAGAGTATGAGATTTCTTCAGGGATTCGACCACAATTGCCTTGGTAGCATGGGCTACGTGGCACAGTGTCAACATTTCAGTAATTCAGAAATCAGACGTCGACTTCTAGGTGAAAAAGGAAAGTCAGTTGATAAGGTTGTGAATTTTTATCAAACCAGATGGTAGAACACACGTGTTACAACATGCATAGTTAATATCCATGTAAACTTCCCGATTGATGACTGGATGAATTCTAAAATCGGTGGTTAGAGATTGTGAACAACGTGGTACAGAATTGATTTCGATAACGCAGACAAACTCACACATTATCTTCGAAATCATCATATAGAATCCTGTTGTTATCTCATTTCTAGGTATCCCCTTCTGCTGAATATAAATTACCGTTTTCCTTATTTCTTTATCATTCACCGTTTTGCCTTTTACCTTGAGGTGTGGCGATTCAACTGTGTATGACTGATGCAAATGAAAACTTCAGACATGATTGTTGTCAAATATTATTTTCAAAATAAAGTATATAAGGAAAGAAAGAAGATGAAGTATCTTTAGGACAATTACTGCTGAAACCAATGGAATCATATATCCTTGTTTACAGCACAATGTAAAGCATGCCAGTTTTTAAAAATAAACAAAAATCACATTAAATCACAGTTTAATCTCTTCATGGACCTGGACGATCAACTATTTCTGGATTAGTTGAAAAAGCATTTTCAACATCAGCATTTAATGACCCCCTGATTTCAGGAAATGTATTGTTTGAAATTTGCGCTATACTCGAAGTTAACAGGCACTAAAAACAAGACAGAAGAGAATAAAACACCAAATAAAGAATAGTGACAATTAACACGACATAAACAAAACATTGGTAATTGAGGTTGTATGAGAGATATATAACTCATTTTACATTTGTTACCGAAACAAAATCAATCAGCATGAATGAGATAGGATAAAGTGACTGTCTGTATAAATTTGTCTGTCAGACAAAACCAACTAATCTACCACCCATAAATCTGTTGGTCACTGGTTTTGGCAGTCGATCCACACGACTTGACTGACAAAATTAGTGTAGAATGTCGAACATAGGTGCATCGGCTCCGGTTGCCACACTTCACAGTAGTATACAAAGAACAGATGCATAGAAAAAGAGTGATATCAAAGTAGATGAAGTTTTGCGAGAAAATAAACAATTTAAAGATAATGGTTAGTCCACTGTTAATGAGTGTCTAATGTTCGGAGAACAAGTGGTTAAACAGCTCTGAAACAGTTCCATAATGGACATCCAGGTATTGCGCGTATGACGTCTATCGCCAGAAGTTATGTACACTGGCCAAATACGAACGCCGTTAACCAATGCCACTCATATCAAGCCGCAGCCAAGAATCTGTCCCGAAAGCAGCCTCGAGCATGGCCTCCATCACAACCATGGTCCCAACTACACTTGGATTCCGCTGGACTGATAGATGGTGTGTATTACTTGGTTCTTGTGGACGCCTATTAAGTGACCCGAGGTAGTTTTGATTACCCTACACTCCAACAGCTGAACCATAGCAGCCCTCACTAAAATTTTCGCGTGCCATGGCATTCCAGAATGCACTGTATCTGACAACGGCAGCCAATCCATGTCTCAAGTAATTCAAGATTTCTGTCAGAGAAATGACATACACAACACGTGCGGACGCCACCGTGTTACCCTCAGTCCAACGGCTAGGCGGAGCCATTTGTGGATACCTTCAAAAGAGCTCTGTTGAAAGCATGGGGATGAGCTGCACCGAAGGTAATATAGTATTTCCTTTTTGTATAGAGCACCACGCCATTGGCAGATCAGAGAAAAAGCCCAGCTGAGCTTTTAATGAGACGGATGCTACGTGCCCATCATCATTTCATGTTGCCATCCTCACCAGTTTAACGGAAAAATACGGTGGGATATTTTCACAAAGGACACCCAGTCTACGCTCGTGAATATCAACCAGGAAGATAAAAACGGCCAGAAGTTCTAATTGAAGGTCAACGAGGAACTTTGATATACGAAGTCAAAGTGAAGCACGAAGGATGGATGAGACACGAAAATCAGATACGACATCGTCACACCACGTCCTCAGAAACCGAGATACCGTTGGAACTTCCACTTAAAACTTTCAGACTATCTCCAGTTGATGCAAAATCAACTCAAGGGAAGCCGAAGATCAAGAAGGAATTCTCACCAAGACGAAGATCGAAGCGCAAAAGAACTTGAACGGTACACTTCCAAATTCATCCGAAAAGACAGAGGTACTAGATTTTGTGTTGGACATGTTCATTTTTTTAGAGTGAAGTGCTATATACCCCTAATTTTGCATAGCTTTTGCCTGTTGTTTTGCTGGATGTATGGAATCACTGTGATAAAGAAAAAAATCAGTCAATGAGGTTGTGTATCTACACTCATTAGGATGAATGAGACATATATTACACATGAGAAGTTAATATCTACACCGATATACAATTTTAGCCGGAGTAAGAGTATGATTAAGTTGAAATTAAGCTAATGGTTGTCAAACCAAGACAAAACACCAATTCACGAATCCATCGACTGTTTGTCCGAGTCATGTGGGAAGATGTATGCTTCATTCCTTCTTATAAGCGATGAGAATCAATATTTTAAGAGTTTTGACGTGACTGAAAATCGGTAACAATGCCATAGATGAATACACTCTTCAAAAATATACACGTTTTCCGCTTGTTTTTTCTGCACCCCTTTTAAACCTTTCCACTTTCCCACTAACCTGTTTTATTGACTTTTTCTTTTAGTACTATTGTCCAGTGTGGCTTCAGGGACTGATTCAATGCAGTAAGAGATTCTGGCTATCCCTTTTACAACTTTAGTTGGTTATTATTATTATTATTAACATTGGTCTGGCACTATTGATGGATATTGGCTGTAAGTGCAATCCAGGACGCGCATTTCGTCATATTTAAGACTCACTCATCAACTAGATCTACCTACCCCCCTAGTGAGTGATGTTGTTCTAACGACGATCGCATAACCTTCAGCTTAGATATATAAACGGGTAGCTTTTATGACGAAAATAAAAGTCACAATCTAAGTATCATGAATGTACTGATGTCATTCCTTTTAAAGAAGAACCACCATCTTTACACGTCTTGATGGAGTTACTGGAATCTACAAAATATATTTATCACTAGACAAAATCAACACAGAACTTGGCATTTGTTTTCATCGGATCATAATAGAACAATAATAAGAAAGCGAATAGACAATGAATGATATCAAAGTAGGCGAATATATAAACAAGATAGGAGGGTTTTAAAAATTCTCATCATGTAAATTAGAACAACACACATAAGCGAACAATACTGTTTTCAATTAGATCCTCTTCAGGCTTTACTCTAATACAAATAGCTTTATATATATACATATATAATTCATTGAATATTTGAGATAGCTGTGGTTTGGCAGGCTAGTATTTGAACTGGATGATATTTGATCGTGGCCGGGTTCGAACCAGCGACCACCGGAGTTTTCGACCTGATGCTCTACTAACTGAGCTACGACGTTGGGCAAATACCCTTGGTGATTAGAGTGAAATAAAAATCTGGTCAAAAATCGAACCTTGCAGCTCAGTTGGCAGAACTTGGGGCCAGAAATTCCAGTAGTCGCTGGTTCGATTCCGGCTGCGGTCCAAATTTTCATTTCATCTTCAATCATCACCCAGTATAAATGTTTTAAAATAACGGTGGTGAAAATCCTACGAATAATGATAATGATAAAGTTATAACATTGACTAAAGCACTTGAAATATAGATGATAATGATGATGATAAGAACCAAGAAAGCAGTATGATGAAAATGTAGACACTCGGATAATCAAAGTGGGTCAAAACCTTGTGAAAATAAAAGTTACGTGATACTGAAGGATAAGGTAAGTGAATAAACAAAATCTAGACAAATACCGTATGTGAAAGGAGTGGAAAAAAACTGAATGATAAAGTTACTAACTAAATATTCCCTGATCCACGGAGAGATAAGAGATGTACAAATTTCTTCTGGGTATAAAGACTAGGATTATTTGCTCGAATTCCTACAGATTTTGGTATGTGGTGTAAAAGACGAGTTCGAATACCTTTCGAAAGATGAGATAGTATGCGGTGAATAATCATGACACCATTGTTCATATCAACCAGGTGACTACTATCAACAAGGTGAGATGAAACCGAACTTGTGATCGATTTTATCTGTCCCTTTCCCAATTATGAAGATAGATGCTCAGTAAAACATTTGTTAAGTTGTCTTGTGGTATGCCCTATGTGGTTTTCTCCACAGAAGCAGCTGAACTTGTAAATACACATAGAAATGGCAAAATTTGCAAAATAATAAGAAGTAAGTATATCTGAGGTATTGCGATTTAGCACTGAGTAATATCACTAAGGATTTCCAGTCGCTGATTTTCAAATTCTTGAGGACTATAACTCAGTAGTCTACGTTCCTAATATATGGGTGGAATTTATGATTAGCAACTAAACGCCGCATGCTTTGTCTTAGCTACTCTCAGTTTTCTTCTTCTCAGCACCAATTCAACCAGAATTGAACACTGCAGACTATTAATATGCACAATGCATATTCAAGTTATGTGTATCTACCAGTTCACCTGCTCTTGGGGAACAAGGTGCATCAGCTGTAGCCAGAGAATATGTTCCGAGAACATATTCCTGCTTGGTTTTATAAAGGTGAAAGAGAGTCTGTTAGAAATTCGATTCTAGAACACTTGATTAGTTACCACTACTCAACAAACCCAGTGACAATGACTCTAAAACAATTTATCCAATTCGCCCAAACTTCCCACGTTTTCTTCTTTTTCAACTCCTTAAAACAACGGAAGCTTTAGTTATTCATAAACTAAAACCTGATCTGTGTGTACAAAAGAAGTATGTATAGTCAGTTACTATCATAGCCATAACATTTTCCCACCTCCCATTAACCTTTGTATCCTTCCTTTATCACTATTATTATTGTTATTATAATTGCCATCACTTTGATTAGTTTCCTAAGTCATTTCACTTGATTGTCTCAATCTTTTTAGAAAAGATTGATGTCATCTTGACCAACATGTCGAAACCTACTTATTATTATTTTCCCGTTGGGTTCCTAGTGGAACATACGGCTTTAGTAGCACGTCTCTAGTGCACTCTGTTCTCTCCAGTCTTTTCAACCTGGCTCCACGACACCCCACAAGATCTCATTTCTTCCTCACACCATCTCCTCCACGTAACCCTCAGCTGAGACGCCCAACTCGTTGTTTCCCATACGGGTTCCACTCGACGGCCTGACGCGTGATGTCCCCAAACGCTCTTCTCAGTGTATGCCCATTCCATCTCCACCTCCTTCTGCATATTTGTTGAGCGATGGGTTCTTGGTTGCTTCGTTGCCAGTCAGCCAGAGTTCCTTGTTGCTTATTCTTATTATTCTGACCATCTGATCTGATCTGATCTGATCTGATCTGATCTGATCTGATCTGATCTGATCTTCAGCATCGAGTGAGCATTGGTGGCAGCTGTTGATGAATGTCTGTAGTTTGTTGGAAATGCTTTTTGTGACGCGCCAAGTCTCTCAACCGTATAGAAGCAGTGACTTCACGTTGGTGTTGAAAATCCGGATCTTGTTCATGCTTTATGCTGAGTAGAGTGGAGTGAGGTAGATCTCCACACTGACTTCAGATTAATGAAAGCCTGTCTTGCTGTCTTTCCGATCCTGGTTTTGACATCCTCGTCTGTGCCGCAGCGTGTAGCTGAAACGATGCTGCCCAGCCAGGTAGATGAAAGAGACTACTTTCCTTAGGTTTCTCCCGTTAATGGTGATTGTTGTTGATGCTCTTATCGGTTGGGTATCTTCATCACCTCCGTTTTCTTTGCATTCACTTGAAGTCCCGTCTTCACTGCCCTGCTTCTCCTGTCAACTTGCTAGTTTTTGCCTGTAGATCTTCGAGTTTGTGCGACATTAGACATAAATCTTTGGCGAAACCCAAATCTTCTAGACTCTTTTCGTCGGCCCAGTGTACGCCCATCTTCTCGCTCCTCACGGTTTGCTACATGATCCAGTCCACCACAATCAGGAAGATTATGGGTGACAGTAGACAGCCTTGTCTTACTCCTGTCTTCACATGAAAGGCGTCACCTTACTCTACTTACATGACATTTAATTGATTTACCACTTCCATCAATTTTTTTCACCCTCTCCTGAGTTATATACCTTCTAAGAACCATTCCATATATTACGTAATCCACTTTGTTATCATTTATGCTTCAATTGTTATCATAATCACAAGTGCCTGTCATCATCCGTTTATCATTATTGTCATCATCATCATCATTTAATGTTTAGTTTTCATCACGGGATATAATTTTTCAAACATCATATATATACGAATGTACAGCTTGAAAATAAATTGGTTGAAAAGAGTCTCTTATCTGAATATCTTGTTCTTGATATTCAAGTTACCACAATTGGTGGGTTTTTGTGAACTTTGGTGACAGAGTAATTCCCATTGTCTAAAGTTGTCTATCGAGTATAAGAATTACTCATCTATCGACTTTTTCAAGCACAATTACACTTAGTCAAATATACGACTTTCACTCTCAACAGCCAGGTTTCAGGGGAATAGATCAGACTGCAGTAGTGTTCAGTCGGACAACTCACTGAGAGCACTGTTGATGAAAAGGTTGCTGAGTAGCACACATATATATCTCTCCACAAATGTCAGCGAATGGTGCGTGTTCAGTAAAGCCTAGCTTATAGACACTTTCAAAAATGCTCTTTCTTATTGTTTTGATATGAAAAGAAACAGACAAATAGACAGACGAAACTTTACTCATCATTAGAAGAATACACATACACGTTCCAATTGATTCTTTTCATTGTGTTCTAACTTATCCAATCGATTAAATTCAGCTGCTAAAAGGCGCTCAGTTATCTGTGAATTAAGAGAAAAGAACCAACAAACAAAATATATTAGAATATTTTTTTTAAAAAAAAAAGGATAGAAACAACTAACAAGGGAGATGGAAAACATTGAGAATCACTATAATATACAAAATAAATTAACTAGTAAACTCAAAAACTCTAATATCAGGGAAATAAGAGACTTGTTAGTATCCAATACAGTTCTCAAGTACGTAGTGCATATCAATAAGCTACATGGTGCATAAATATACTGATATGAGCTGTAGCAACTCGGATAGTTACACAGTAATACTTGGGTCCTATGTTGATTAGGATGAACGGATGTATAAATGCGATTATACAGAAATCTAGTCAATCCATTAGAGAAACGAATACCCATATGATAAACCAGTTCCTTAATATATAATAGTCAGGAAAATGTGAGAAATATTTCTGGCTCACGTAATAATGGATGCTTAGTTACACATTCTCAAGTGTGGTGATTCACTTGACCACACCTAGCCTATGGGGTGAATCTGCAAAATTTCTTTTTATGAGTGTTAGCAGATACAATGGACTTTCTAGTGTAGAAAGCACACCATTCCATTGGATACTAGTCAAAAATCCTTTGTATGCTGTTAGACTGAATGGATCTGTAAGGACGGCGAAGAATTCTCAACATTTGTCGATGCCTATGCGTAGTCTTCGTCTACCAACTCACCGAATGCAGTTCGGATGCTACAATGGATCAATTCCATAAGAAACTGTCAATTTCGCTACAGAAAGTTTAAAAAAGCGCTGAAACATAATCATATAGGCAGATGACTTTAAAGCCCAAACAGGGAAGTTGAACCAGTTAGGAAGACATTTTGGAGGTATCCGCGGAATTCCATGCCAAATAACTGACAACAGTGAACGTCTCTTGCAATTCTCTTCTGACAATCACTTATGTCTCACCGGTACTAACATCAAGCAAAAGGAGAGACATTGTTTCACATGGCGTCCGCCGACATCAAACCAACTATGGACACATATAGATCGTATCGATATGAGCAATCGTCAGGGCGGAGATAACTAGGCATTTTTATCTGAAAGTGACAAAAATGTTCATCCTGAGAAAACCTGGGGTGATATTAAGTTCGGCGTAGAAACAGAGGTAAGGAAAGTAAGTAGTCTATGCCCGAAGGTTAGCAAACGTTATTGGATTTCCATAACTTCATCCAAACGGACTGATGCGAGGAGACCGATTTCATCTGTTTCCGACCACAATGAATTGCGAAAGTAACTTAAACGTAAATTGACCATGAGTCTTCGAAATGATCATGACCAGTGAAAGGTCATAAAAGCGAGAGTAATGAAGAAGGTATCAGCATTACACAATACCCATCGATCATTCGGGCTTATTTAACATTCTGTCAAGAAGATGATAGTGAGTAAAACCATCAATGGGAAGGATGGGACGCTGATAACCTACCAGGACAAATGGCTACAACGCTGGGTGGAACACTTTGAAGTACAGTTTAAGTGGGCCATAGCTAAGCTTCAAACCCCCAGCATCTAACTAGAACCTGAATGGGACGAAGCTGTCAGTCCTCCAAATCTCCTTAAAGTTGAGAAAGTTGTTTCAGACCTGAAATGATGTAAAATGGTAGGACCTAATGGTTTGTCACAGGGAAATGTTAAAGAACAAGGTAGTATATTACTGAGAAGAGTAACGGAGGCACTAGGTAGTGTATGGGAATCAGAAGTAATATATAAACTGATATATATCAAAGATTATTCCACCCTATAAGAAAAGAGAGAAGTCTTCTTGTGACAACTATAGGAGAATCAATTTGACTAATATCGTATCCAGGACGGTTAAGTCCATAAGCTAAACTGAAATTACGAACCTTCATTTTTCAATTCTTTTTCCTTTGATAAACGTTTGTCTACTTTTATATCACTCCGTTTTCTATCCACTTGTTGTTTGCTCAATGCTGTGGAGTGTGACAAATTGAACCACTACACTGTTGCATGGATTTCTACGTTGATGTATATATCTGGATGACCAACACTACCTAGACATCATCATCAGTGCATGAGAGCTGTTCAACCTTGTCAGGCTTTCATGCACTTAGCAGATATGAATGAACACATTCTTACTTCTATGCGTTCCTATGGATTCCAAAGTATATTGCATATGAAAACTGTAACTAGTTATTACCACAGAAAATTGAGTTACCTCATAACTTCATGTCATAAAGCAGGTTTGGGTGTCAGGTGGGATATCAGTTTCATCGAGGTTGCAGATACGTCTTGCTGACGAGTATCAACAAGCATGAAACCCAGGTCCAGTGCTTTCTGCCGATTGCCTATAACCAACTAACATCTATGATAAAGCATGCTTAAATGACATAAAATATATAGGTAATAAGAGAAGAATGTATTTAGTGATTACTTCACCCATTCAAGGAATTGATTTCCAACGTGTAAATAACTGATTAACGCGTATAGAAACTAACTAAGGGTTCAGTTGTCCAGGTAATTTTCTTTCTTCGCTTGTATAAAACAAAGGCATCTTAAAGCTAATTACAATCGACATGATGTGGATGGCTTGTCTGCCCTGCAAAAATATTTGAATAGCATCAATGTATATTTGTTTGCAAATCAATATGATCATCATCATGATGATGTGATATAAACCCATTTCATTAGGAGTCAAGTTTGCGTAGGTTTTAACATAAACCACTTATTTTTTTTCACCCTACAAGTTTATGGGGATTGATTTATTGATTTTAGGTTGGTATTAATCACAAACTGATACCAATTACAGGACCATTTGACATCTGTTTCGTCCGAGTATGAGACTTGTCAGCAGTGCACATCTATGACCCCACCTCGCGGTAAGGGGTCGAACCCACGACCTACAGGTTTCCTAACCAGCATGTTTCAATTCGTCACCAACCGATATCACTCGTTTTGTGACGAATGCCAACTTGAAGTCAATACCACTTTGTTAACTTCTTTACCAAGTGTTTCTGTATGGATCTAGCCTGAAATAGACATGAATTAACTTAAAGTATTTTGACTACAAATAGTTGTATGCTTACTTAAATTAGTAATATGTAATAGTCATCGAAATCAATTTATCCACCTATAAAAATGTTTAAAATGAGAATGCGATGAAAACATGTTTTTTTTTGGCATCGATTGCTTGTCAAGAAATCTTATAGACTGTCAAAAGTATAATTTTTATTAGGCAGAGTAGTATCGGTAGCGATACAAATAGACTGAATAATAAACTAACCACTGAAATCAGTATATGTTTCTTTTCCGAAAGGATTGAGAAGTTGATTTTTCTTTCATTTTAGTTATATACAGGTTATTAAACAGAATGATATTACTAAGTGTATTATTCTGTGCACTTATGATGTAAGAGAATGACTAGAAGGCAGTAAAATTTTGCAGTAAAACAAGAAACAAGTACGATCTGTGACAACAGAAAAGGTATTTTAAATTCTTAACGGTGTGAATTACACTTAAACGAAATAAAATAGTCATTATCCAGTGACCTGATTTTCATAATGAAGCCGGTGAAATACACAAGTATGCTGCAAAACAGTTCGTTCTGTCCTGTTATACGCCTGTAAAATATGGTCGTTCAAAGTAGAAGACATGAAGCGGTTATAGGGTTTTGATCACAGATGCCTCCGTAGCATTGCTCGCGTTTGGTGGAATCACACCATCGTGTGGGCAATGTTGAAGTAAGGTGAAGGTTACTAGGCAAGACAGACAAGCCGATTAATGAAGTTGTGAACCTTAGTCAACTGGAATAGCTTGGATATGTATTATGCATGCCAATCCCCCACCTAACTCAGCGGACCACGTTGGGAAAAGTTGGATTATTTTGAAAGAAGGTTCAGAGTGGCCAGATCGAGACGTGGTACCAGTCGATGAAGTTCCTGACTATTGGTCTGAACAATAGGGGAGATGTAGACTGTCTTTAGATGGAGTTCCTGAGACGATGGAAATCAGTGGTTGATGAATCTTGGTGAAATGGATGAAAAGCGGTCACAATGGCGCAGATTTATTCACTCTTTGATGACTTCTAAAGGTCCAGTATTTTGACGAAGCTTAATTTTTAAATTCACTCTCCTCCCATACATCTTTGTCTACTTTGATATAAGTCTCTTCTATCCGCTTGTTAGTTGTATACTACTGTAAAGTGTGGCAACTCGAACGGACGCACTAGTGTGTGAGATTTTACGTTGGCTTTGTCTATCTGTTTGTAGATGAAGTGTATAGATGCAAAATACTTTTTACAACAATAAGTATTGCTTTCCTCTCAAAGAGGGAAAATGAAGTGTAACTCAGCGATTATGCGTATATTTATGCCCTAGGTTATGAGTCACACACATACACGCACACACTGTGTGAAAACTAATGATGCTGTCTAGAATGGGGCTCGAACCTATACTCACCTAGTATAAGGAATCATAGAGCTTTAAAGTAGTTATCAATAAAGCTGGGTCAATTTGAGTCGATTAAATTCATGAAAATTGACTTAAAGAAGCTTCGAGTGCTAACGCTTGATGATCCACTGTATTCCTGTTAGTTTCATCACCGAAAACTTAGAAGGATATCTTACAGACAGATGTGAGGAATTATAAGTAGTAATGCTTAAAAACTCTAATGGATTTTTGACACATAAACCGACTTGAGAGAAGCCAAAGTCAGAAAACAGCTAATAAACATTTAGTTAACTTCTATCATTACTCAAAAACATGAGTAAGAGAAATTTATAAACTAGCCTAATAGATTATGGAGCCAAAAAGATGGTATCACAAACATTTATGCATTAAATTGAATTTCTGAAGCATTTTCAAAGAAATGGATTGTATACAATGACTGACAACTTTATTATCACAAGATCATTCAAGTGTATAAGTAAACAACACCTAAATATAATTTTTCAAGTTGGTATTGATCATGGAGTGACATCAGTTGGAGGAACATTGAAAAGCTAGGAGCACTGGATACCTGTTTCGTCCTACTATGGGACTCCTCAGCAGTGCACACCCATGACCCTGGCCTTGTCAGAGACCGAATCCAGGGACTTCAGGTTCTGTGACCAGCACGTTACCATTGAGATAGCCATTGGGTCGGGATCCATTGGTCCACATTTCCCACTTCTGTCAGTTCGTGATATAAAGCGACCTACATCCAATATCATTGTTGAGTATCTGTCCTCATATTCGACCTGACTGACATGATTGGTCACAATTTCTCATTGGAATTACGAGAATCACCTCTCGAAGTTAGTCACCAATGAGCGCTAGATTAACTCTATCTGAAGGTTTGTGGGGATTTTGTGACAGTCGTGCTATGTCGCGAACTCACAAAAGCTGGGAATATGAACCACTGGATTCCGATGGAGTGGCTCAATGGTGAGGTACTGGCCACGGAACCTGAAGTTTCTGGATTCGATCCCTGACAAGATCAGGGTCATAGGTGTACACTGTTGAGGAGACCCATGCTAAGATGAAACAGCTATCCAGTGCTCCCAGGGTTCCAACCTTCATACAACTGATGTCAGTGCATGATAAATACCAAACTGAAAATACACCAAATCCCCACAAACCCCCCAAATCCACGAAAATATGATCTTGCATATGTACATATGTTCTTAACTATTTATCCCAACAAAATTATCTTTTCTTCCTGAAAACATTCAAATTCCAGACAAATCTGATGACAAGAATGTGCGAACGAGGCATATAAGTGAAGCTGATTTTAAACCGAAGCGCAAGGAAATATCCACAACTAATCATTACACAAGTCAAACATCAACAATAAAGGATGTGGCACGCTTCACCACTGGACAATGCTGTCACAATTCACAACAAGGCAAAATTGACAGAAAAAAATAGGAATAAGTGAATCCATTTTAATTGACCTATTAGAAGAATCAGATGTGTAGTAAATATATAGGACTTGTCAGTGGTCTAGCGGATAACGCTCCGGCAATTGAAAACATGGATTCGGGGCTCGAGTGCAGATGGAAACAACACAACTCACTGAGGCGAAGATGCATCGAGCGGATGACCTCCAAATACGACAAAACACATACTGAACTCCGTTGGTAGCCACTAGCATGTCAGTTATACAAATAACTATCCAGGTTATATCGAGGCGTTTGTGTAGGAGCTCATAGACCAACAGAGATCGACCACTTCGATTCAGCGTAACGACGGGCAATTACGAGTATATCAACAATTAATAACAACATTCTATTGACAGTTAACTTTACATGTGTTTACATAACTTCGTGTGACTATCATTTTAGCCTTCAATACTATCATACACTGCATTTTATTGTCGTCAGTATAATGAAGTCAATTATTTAGAATGAGAAAACATTTCTGACAACTTATCCCCAACACCCAGTTCCAGTAGATTAGTAAACATTCACTTTACGTTTCGCACTGAGCAGTGATTTATTTCTATTTGACTCCTTAGCATGACTCATTTCATTGAGGACATTTGAGACAGGTTAATAGGTGATTGAATGAATGTAAGACTTCAACAGTAAGCTGTATACATCATGACTACCAATTTGTGTAGAACTGGTCACTGGGCACCAACGGAATTGCAATACCCAATTACAATTCCTTCCAGTATCATGTCACTCAACTCACAGACCATACATGGTCACTGATCAGCTCTAAAAACCCAACAACCGGATCAACTGCTCCATCGATTGTACCGAAACGTGCATATTATCTGGATAGTGTTCCTAATCTATGTGCTACAATGTATCTTTACTTCTCAAGGAAATGTCTAAATTCACAAATTAGCTAACTGAAAACCATAGATCATGTTGTCGATGGCACATAGGAGAGTTGCTTGCGACCATTCTATAGGTAGGTACTTCCATTTCAAGAGTTTTAAAATGTGAATCAGGGCAAGAGATATTATTATTACATTATTAGTCCCTTGGGTTCCCAGTGGAACATACGGCTTTAGTAGCACGTCTTTAGTGCACTCTGTTCTCTCCAGTCTTTTCAACCTGGCTCCACGACACCCCACAAGATTTCATTTCTTCCTCACATTATCTCCTCCATGTAACCCTCAGCTGAGACGCCCAACTCGTTGTTTCCCATACGGGTTCCACTCGACGGTCTGACGCGTGATGTCCCCAAACGCTCTTCTCAGTGTATGCCCATTCCATCTCCACCTCCTTCTGCATATTTGTTGACCGATGGGTTCTTGGTTGCTTCGTTGCCAGTCAGCCAGAGTTCCTTGTTGCTTATTCTTATTATTCTGACCATCTGATCTGATCTGATCTTCAGTATCGAGTGAGCATTGGTGGCAGCTGTTGATGAATGTCTGTAGTTTGTTGGAAATGCTTTTTGTGACGCGCCAAGTCTCTCAACCGTATAGAAGCAGTGACTTCACGTTGGTGTTGAAAATCCGGATCTTGTTCATGCTTTAAGCTGAGTAGAGTGGAGTGAGGTAGATCTCCACACTGACTTCAGATTAATGAAAGCCTGTCTTGCTGTCTTTCCGATCCTGGTTTTGACATCCTCGTCTGTGCCTGTACCGCCTGTAGTTGAAACAGTGCTACCTAGATAGGTGAAGGAGGTTACTTCCTTTAAGTTTCTCCCGTTCATGGTGATTGGAGTTTGTTGTTGTTGTTGGAGTTGTTGGTTGGGTATCTTCATCATCTCTGTCTTCTCTATATACACTTGAAGTCCCGTCTTTGCTGCTCTGCCTCTTCTGTCAACTTTTAGTTTTTGCCTGTAGATCTTCAAGTTGGTGTGACACTAGACACAATTCACCGGCCAAATCCAAATCTTCTAGGTTCTTTTCTGCGGCCCAGCATATTCCTCTCTTCTCACTCCTCGTTGTTTGTTGTATGATCCAGTCCACTACAATCAGGAAGATTATGGGTGATAGTAGACAGCCTTGTTTCACTCCTGTCTTCACTTCAAAGGCATCACTGAGTTGAGCTTCCCATTGTGAATTACTTGGCTGGCATGTGGCGTTTTCATATAGTTGTTGAATGAGGTTGATAAAGGTTTGTAGTATTGGGTAGTGTTGAACCAAGCTGCCTGTTAAATTACTCAGTCGACGCTGTCAAAGGCCTTCTCGAAGTCGATAAAGTTGAGGTAGAGATATAGGCGAACAATATTTTTTACAAGAGGATCAGTGGTTTAGGAAGAAGACCCTCCAATCATTGGGTCACGGGTTCGAGGTCTGCTCCACCTACTGAGGTTTGGGCAGTCAGGTAGTATCACTAACCCGTACACCTGTTTTGTGACTCATTGCTTACTGCACGTGTTGAACACATTGATTACGGAATACTTACAAGCTTTGTATATCTTACATGAGTGATGGTCATTTTTTACAACCATGTAGTACGATAGGGTGGATTGTTGCACAAATTCAAATACAAAGAGAGATGCGCTCAGCAACTGTGTTTACATTCGCGAGACAGGCGATGAGTCATACTTATTGTGTAAGTGCTAATGTTACTACATCAATAGGCAGGATGGTGTTCGAACTCGTCACTGATTGGTTGAAAGTCAACTTACTTCCCCAAACCCATGAGCCATGGCTCCACACAGATTCAAATATTTAATTAATTTAAACACTAACACCAGATTGTTTTATTATTTGTCCTTTGGGTTCCTAGTGGAACATACGGCTTCAGTAACACGTCTCCATTTCACTCTTTTCTCTTCAGTCTTTTGAACTTAACCTCACCACTGCCCAGAAACTTTCATTTCTTCCTCACACCATCTCCTCCATGTCACCCTCAGTTGGGACGCCTAACTCATCGTTTCCCATGCGGGTTCCAGTTGACGACCTGGCCTGGCCTAGCAGGTGACGTCACCAAATGGTCTTTCTAGTGTATGTGCAATCCAATCCATTTCCACTTTCTTCTACTGCATGCTTATTGGGCGATAGGTTGTTGGTCAGTTGGATTGTTGCCACATAGAGTGAGTTCTTTGTCGCTTATTCTTTCTAGCCATTTGATTCTGAGTATAAAGTGAGCGTAGGCCAGCAGATGTTTATGTATATATGTAGTTCGCTGAAAAAGCTTTGAGAAACGCGCCAAGTCTCTGAACCATATAGAAGCACTGACTTGACATTAGTTAACACCAAATAGATATAGATTATTTAAATTATATTTTTAAAAAATTAAACTTACTGACTGAGTAACTTCTGATTCAAATGTGAAACCTACACATCCATTGTTGTTGGAAAAGGTTTCAACATCATTGAGTGGCCCTTGAACTACCAAGCATCCAAGTCTAAAATGTATACACATACATATACGGATTTGATAATACACATTGACTTTACTTAGGAAACATTAACAAGAAATTGTTTGTATGCAATTTGTAAACAAAAGTTGAATGAATGAAAATCTTAGAAGAATCTACTATAACATAATGAAGTTCTCGACCACAATTGTCTTCATAACATGGCTGGATTGCAATATATGAGTACTTGCATAATTACATACTGGTTTAATGGGAAGGTAACTACTATAGACAGAAAATAAGTTGAGCTGAGCGAATGAAGCTACCTGAATGGTAGATACTATCCATACAAATCAGTGTATTGGCTTTATAAATCACCATGGGTACCGAAGACCTGGAAAGTGCATAGTCAATCACTAATTAAACGTCGTCTGAAAACCCCGGAACTACTCTTACTACGGTTCAACTAGTCAGTTAACTAACACTTAAAGAGAATTGCATGATAATGAAAAAGTAGAAGAAAGACATCAATTACTCACTTGTGATTATCTGGATGATTATTCCATGATCTGATAGATCGAAATGGTATTCGAATTGAAACATTCCACTTTTCATTGTCTACTTTTTTATCTTTGAATTCATTATCATAATTATTCATCTGCTGGTTAGTTAAAACCCAAAGATCACTTGTTGTAATTGTAATATTACAAGGAATAGGTAAAGGTGAATCAAACGCTGAACGACAGGACAAAACGTAGGTGAAAATATCATTCAATTGATTAGGTGGAACTGATGAGATAGAAAAAGAAAGAGGAAAAGAATGAAGGGTAACTGGGAGAGACTTTGAAAGAAAAGCTATTGTTTTTCAGTGAGTATTCACCACAGACTGATATCCAGTTGAAAAACCAGTGAGTATTGGACAACTACTTTATCCTAGTATGAGACTCCTCAGAAGTGTTCTTCTCAAGAAATTAAAAATGGAATACAAAAATAAGTGAACATATTTTTGAAGGTGTCATACTTAGCTGACATTCTGTTTCTTCTCATGGACTTCTAGTAAATTTTCTTTTGAATTCAAGCTTTCGGAGGTACAACTTGATTTCATTCTATCCTATTACTTTTAAAATCCTATCGCTGATTGAACTGAACTGATCAGTCGCTATTGACATATAGGCTCCTAAGCGGATTAGTACAACATGAAAGTAGCATACATTAAAGTAACCTCGCTTAGGTAACTAGTTCACTAGTTACTAGACGATCCTAAGCCGGGTAAAGAGTGAAGGTTGGGTGTAGAGCTAGCAAACCTACCCCAGAAAACCAATCTAACCACCAAAGAAACTTCAAAGCACAAAGTAATTATGAAAAATAATATTAAACTATCCCCCCCAGAATCGGAGAGACAAAATGATGCCGGTTGGTGAAAGCCTTTGGGAGGCCAATTGGCCGGTGTGTCTTGTCTTCTCTCGATGAAAGCGAAAGTAAACATGGGGACATGGAATATCCGCACTATGTTTGAACCTAGCAGGGCTGCCCAAATTGCAAAGGAGATGAGAAGGTATCACATTGAAGTGCTAGGAATCTGCGAAAGCAGGTGGAATGGAAGTGGACTCTCCAAACTGTCAACTGCAGAGTCATTAATCTGATCCGGTCACCCAAACGACAACCACCAGCACACTGAGTTATGGAGTGGCTGTTATGATGTCCCCAACAGCATCGAAGGCTCTCTCATGTAGTGGGAACCAATCTCCTTCAGGATCATGACAGCAAGGTTCAACTCAAAAGGAAGGAAGGTCACAATCATACAATGCTACGCTACGCAATTACAAATAATGCAGATCAAGAGAAAAAGGAGGAATTCTACAGACAACTGCAATCAGTACTGGAGAAGACCCCATCTCAGTTGGCGATATCGAAATTCTAATGGGTGACATGAATGCCAAACTGGGAAGAGAACTCATATATCATGGGTCGAGAAGTGCTAGGTGAAATGAACGAGAACGGAGAATTGTTCGCAGAATTCTGGGCATTCAGCGATTTGGTGATTGGAGGCAGTGTGTTCAAGCACAAGGATATCCACAAAGAGACATGGATTCGATTTCACTAGATGGACACTAAAAATCAGATCGACTTCATCTCAATCTCAAGAAAATGGAGACGCAGCCAGCCTACTGGAGCAGATGTAGTTTTTCACCACTCACTATCTACTGTAAGGAACCTGCCTTCAAAATCAAGTTAAAAGCCTTCATAGAAGTTGGTGATAGACCACAGCTCAAGTTCAACATCCAAAACAGAAACTGAAGAAAGAATTTACAAAGGCAATCTTCACGTCAGCCATCAAGACGAAATGGGAGATATCGAGGAACATCCCTGGAGAAACCTGCGTGGATGAACACTGGAAGTCCTTGAAAGAGATGTGGAAAAAAAACTGCACAGCCGTATTAGGCAGGAAGAAGAAAGAAGATAAGGAATGAATCTCGACGGATACATGGAAGCTGATAGAGGAGAGAGATGAGGATGGTGAAGCAGAAGATAAACCAGTGCAAGGATGCTCAACGACAAGAGGAACTGAGCACAATGTATAAAACACTACACTGGACAAAGAAGTGAAGAGTGCACCGAAAGACAAAAGACACTTCCATGACACATTGGTAAGTGAAGCGGAACAGGTTGCAGGTAGAAGAGACCTGACAACATTGTATCAAATAACCAGGTTACAATCTGGGAAGAGTTCAACACAAATGAAACTAATAAAAGATGATGAAGGAAATCTAATTAACAAAGGAAACGATGGGCTGACCACTTCAAGAAGCTCTTGAATCGAGTGAGAAGAGGGGAATATGCTGGGCCGCAGAAAAGAACCTAGAAGATTTGGATTTGGCCGGTGACTTGTGTCTAGTGTCACACCAACTTGAAGATCTACAGGCAAAAACTAAAAAGTTGACAGAAGAGGCAGAGCAGCAAAGACGGGACTTCAAGTGTATATAGAGAAGACAGAGATGATGAAGATACCCAACCAACAACTCCAACAACAACAACAAACTCCAATCACCATGAACGGGAGAAACTTAAAGGAAGTAACCTCCTTCACCTATCTAGGTAGCACTGTTTCAACTACAGGCGGTACAGGCACAGACGAGGATGTCAAAACCAGGATCGGAAAGACAGCAAGACAGGCTTTCATTAATCTGAAGTCAGTGTGGAGATCTACCTCACTCCACTCTACTCAGCATAAAGCATGAACAAGATCCGGATTTTCAACACCAACGTGAAGTCACTGCTTCTATACGGTTCAGAGACTTGGCGCGTCACAAAAAGCATTTCCAACAAACTACAGACATTCATCAACAACTGCCACCAATGCTCACTCGATACTGAAGATCAGATCAGATCAGATCAGATGGTCAGAATAATAAGAATAAGCAACAAGGAACTCTGGCTGACTGGCAACGAAGCAACCAAGAACCCATCGCTCAACAAATATGCAGAAGGAGGTGGAGATGGAATGGGCATACACTGAGAAGAGCGTTTGGGGACATCACGCGTCAGACCGTCGAGTGGAACCCGTATGGGAAACAACGAGTTGGGCGTCTCAGCTGAGGGTTACATGGAGGAGATAATGTGAGGAAGAAATGAAATCTTGTGGGGTGTCGTGGAGCCAGGTTGAAAAGACTGGAGAGAACAAAGTGCACTAAAGACGTGCTACTAAAGCCGTATGTTCCACTAGGAACGCAAGGGACAAACAAAAAAAATCACCATCAAACTGGGAGTTTAAAATGCTCAAAATCCTACAGTTCTTCTGAGCATCCTGCTGTGATGAACGTACTTCATGAGTTCCTGAAGTTCAGCCAACATAAGGAACACTGAAGCTAGAAATGTATGTTGGATTAAACAGAGCTTGGATTCCAAACAATCATTACCAGAAATTTCTACTGGAAGTCTCTAAGAAGCAACAGAATCTTACTTAGTGTGGAATCTTTGGACAATAATAATAATAATTCACTTTATTCCAAACAATTTGTGGTACAATTTGAAATTCTCAGCATGACAACAACAACTAAATATGTGTGCATATACTTCTTTACAACATTTTGAATTGTTTTATCATAGAAATTTAAGTAATGTAAAGGATAGTAATAACGAGAAAATTTTACATTGTTAATTAAGTTATTAGGAAGAGATTGTTAACTGTGATATGTGAGTTCTGTTTTGTAACACTTTATTCCTCATATAATATACATGGTAGATAAGATGCAGTCGAATTCTAATACTTGGCTGTACGAGCATATATCCATCCATCCATCCAAATCAACATAGGACTAGGCATTACTGTGTAACCGTCCGAGTTGCCACACCTCATATCACTACATCAAGTGAAGTGGAAGATGAAGAAAAGAAAATTCAGTCAAAAGAAATATAAAGTACTTAAAGAGAGAGAAGGGAAGAATGAGAAAATGGTGAGATTCGGTATAGCGTCGTGAAGATGAGGATAATGTCTATGGGGATACATCTGTGCCACTGACTTCGGTTCTCAACCATATCGCCATCTAGAGTCAGTCTCCAACCACTGGTTTTTCTAGTCCCGCGGACCCCAATCACCCAGTCTGCATAGCCTCATATGGCTCAAACCAACAGTCAAACAATTCATACATTGGTATCATTTACGAGCGTACAGTCTGATGTAATTTCTTCTTGTCCTTTTCGAGGAAATACAAGGAGACAGCTGTGAATGAAGTGGATACTCAGTGTCAGTTAAAATTAATGTACCTAGTTGTTTGCTAGAGTTGAAATGTCTATCAACTACAGTGTTATTCAGTTGGGCCAGAGACATACCACTCACCCCCACTGATGGCTTTCAATGCCCTAAGCAATATAACAGTATTTTTTTAGAAGACCAAGAAAGATCAACGGGGAACAATAGAGAAGAATAGGTAAAATCCAGGAATTAACAGATTGTAAAAGTAGAAGTTCAGTTGTACCAGAGAGTCTCAGTTTCTTTATGTAATCACGTTAAACGAAAGATTTTTTTACAATTCAACAAGATATGAGACGACAAACAAACATCAGAAGTAAAACTCAATCCAATATGGTGAACACTCGACTTACTTTCCGCAGAAATACTACCAATGAAACAGGCAACATGAGACTTAAGCAGCTCAAATAAATCTTGTTGACGCCTGAGGCTAAAATTAACAGTCCGGCATTTCGAAGGGTTTAACTTGAGACCATTGATCAATTACAGACAAGAATGCATTTAATTTAGAGCAATCTAAGAGAGAATTGACTGGAACAGACACCATCAGGTCATCAGCATACTTAGTTTCAACAGAATAAGGTAAATCGTGCAAAAAGAACGAAAACAGAAAAGGAGAAATTACAGCACCTTGAGGCGCACCAGCTTCAGTAAGCAGTGAATTGAAGCGCTTCCCTTTATAGACAGTATACTGTTTCCTTTCAGAAAAATAAGAATACAGCCATTTTATAAAAGTTCAGGAAATGCATCTAATCATTGGAAAGACTATTCTTAGCACAATTTTTTTTCTAAAAAATGTAATAAAAGTGTTTAAATGTTTAAAATCCCATAACAATAAGTCGTGAATCGAAAAAAACAAGCGCAATATCAAGACAACTAGGAAGTAGATTACAGCTTCAGAGCTGATAGATGTTTCAGTCGAACACCACTCTTCAATTAAGTCCACCTTGAAAATCCATACACATGGGGTGCACTTTTATCATCCAAATCGAATGAAATAACGATTAAAAGTTTGTTCTTACCTCTGATATCGATACGGTGGAGAGATTCGTAAGCACTTTATAGTCTATCAGATTGGTCAGCGACTTGATTAGTATTTATGTATTTGATAATGGTAGCTACTAGTGGAAACCAGGATCTTCGTTTGCGCCTATTTGAGACTAACCAATTGAATGTACCTGCATTCCAGTAGGTAATAAGTCCTGTCATCGATGGTTTTTATAACTGAATTTACCAAGGAAGATTTAATCGGATAACAAATTGTTTATGAACACACAAAAGTGGTTTGAGCTTCTTAATAGCTGAGGCCTCAACAAATTTGAGGATCTGTCCTCCAACGCGTTTTGTAATTAAGTCTATCGGAAGTAGGCACGTCAATCCTGTGACCTGTCTTAACAATATGTTTCGCGATCGAAGAACTTAGACGTCTGCTATGAATATTTATGGGTTCAGGTGATTTAATTTATCTCTGATGCCACTTTAGAATATGTTCCAAGGGCCTTACTTGCATGGATCTATGAGTCCTCCCTATGTATGTGTCACCACACGTACATTTGAATTGGTAGACACAATGAGATGAGACACTGTCCTTCATATGCTGTAGGGATTTGGGAGAAAATATGGGCTTGGTAGTTTCTAGTAATCGAACCCTAGCTGCATAGTAAGTTCTTCTAACAGCAGTGTTAAATCTCTGTTTAAGGACTGTACTATGAGAGTCACCTTTGTACGGAAGACTGATGAAGACATCTTTTTTTGGGACAAAGTGAAGAACTGGTTTCGGTACTCTGGTTTTGTGCTGCCCAATAAACTTTGATGGATAGTTATTTTCTAACGGTATTTCAGTTACACATTGATATGATTATGAGCGATAATAATTTATGCTCGAAACGTCATCAAGTAAATAATACTATATCACGGTGTGTTATAAATCAAATAAGCAAATCTAATATGGAATGTTTCAGTCAGTGTTCCTCTTTCATCTTCTAAAGTATCCTCTATGCATATCCGTTGAATTCTACTGAATAAGCACCTACCTAACGCTCGCTTGTACTGAATTGAACAAAAGCTATGATAGTTCAAATATTGCCCTGTCCATGTAGGTTTTCTGTAAATAGATCGTTTTATGGATCCATCTTGCTTCCGACTAATTAATATATCCAGGAATGGCAAGTAGTCATCTTTCTCTCCTACGCCTTCTTACTTGACCTCTTTTCATTTTGTCACTCCTTATCTTCATGAATTTTCATATAAATATCTATGAAAAGTACGTGTGTGATCGGATAGTTCGAAATGTGTTGAGCAAATATAAGTTACACGGTTCAGACAATTTACGTTTTCTTATTGTTTTGTCGAAGTTTATAAAGGGAACTAATTGTTTTAAATTTCTGACTGCTTTATGTTCCAGTTAGTTAGTGTATCATGCTCATACCATAGTTTGATGTTAAGAGACAATTGGAAGAAGCGTTGCTTCGTCTAGACTTCGTACTTATCCACGCTGACCAATCCTCCCCCTCTAAGGTGTACCTGTAATCCTGAGTCCATATTGTTATTGCTAACACTATCCCCCCTTAAGATTGACTCCCTTTAACTATTGTAGTCAATCACTTCGTACTAAAAATAAATCTAATGTAACATATAGTGTTTAAAGATTTTTAAGAAACAGTATCAAAAATAGAAAAAAAAACATCAACTTTTCAACTTACAATGATCCATTGGAAGATCAACAGCACCCAAAAACTGGCACGGAAACATATTATTAGATAGCATATTGATATTAATCGGTTTATGCGGAATCAAATGATCACTATTTGTTTGACTTGTATTATTTTCTTCAATGTTTTGATTATTTTCATCAGTCAAAGTGACCGTTATCTGATTAATGTCATTTTCAATGCTTGTTACCTTTTCATCATTGTTATTATTGTCTTCTTCACTGAGTATATGCAATTCAGTATCTAATAAACTAGTCAATTCAGTGACTGGATTTAAATCAAAATGTATCTGAGGTAGGTAATTGGAAAACCAATCGATGTATGTGAGATCGTGTTCAACAGGATTTACATAATCCATTAGACCACCAACACCTGGATAGGTTATGTCATTCTTTCATTGGTAGAAAAACATAATGAATAGAAAATCATTGTCTAAGAAACAATTAAGATTGCTTAAACATTTACTTTCAATAGGGTTAAATAAAGGATTGTAGAGAGAACAGATACATTATCATGTCATCCCTATAGAATTAAAACAATTTTATTCAACTTTTCTAAAGTATAATTCATTGGTCGATGATATGAAGAAATGTTATCGTACGAAAACATCTGGAAGTCACTAATCTAGCATGGTTACGACTACTAGATCTCTTTCACAGAAGACATAGATCATAGGCGGCCTACTCGAAAAACTTTGTTTTATTTGCAAGAAATGTGCTGGGATTCACAACATTTAGTCTTTTTATGGTAATTCACTTGATTATGGCTAGCAGGGGAATCTAGGACGCACGTTTCGTCCTATTTGGGACTCGTCAGCTGGGTGTACCTGCACCCAGTGAGATTTGAACGTCGTACTCACCGCTTCAAACGCCAAGGTGTTATCCACTAGGCCATTGAGGCACGATGGCCACCTCTTGTACAACGGGTATTAGTTATTACCATTTCAACAAATGATATGACAGTAATTCTCTATTATTAAACTGAATCAAATTGTTCGACTTCTAATACCCATTGTACATTTGGAAAATTTAAGGATAATAAGGAATAATACATTTTCACACCTCCCTTGACTTTAAAATGAAATAAAGATTACCATGGTAGGCTTAAGGTAAAGACAATTTGTTTTGAATACACAAAGGGGGTTTGGGCTTTATTATGGCTATGGTTTCAATGAACCTAAGTGTACAGTCAACTGTATATATATATATATATATATATATATATATATATATATATATATAATGGTTCAAAGGCTGTTTTAAGGTCAATCCTGTAACCTGTTTCTAAAATGTGTTTACCTATCGACAATGATATCTGTCTGTCTATCATATTATTTGAATGTAATTGTTTTCCTAACCACTAAGGGATATTCTCCACCACCCTCGACTTCATAGTTTGATTACTCCTCCCAATATGTATGTCACTGCACACATGTAAATTGGTATACACAGCGTGGTGTGACGCAACCATTTATGAAGTGATGAGGTTTATTTTAGAGCATAGGTTTCGTTTTCTCGATAATATTGAGCTTGGCTGCATAGTACGTCTTTTTAATAACTGAACTAAGTCTTCACCTCAACATTATATTGTCGGATTCCCCCTTATACGGTAGCGTGATGTGAACATCCTTCTTCGGCACAGAATATTGATTATAGTTCGCATCTTTGTGACGTTTTTATAACGTTTGATGAACTTCAGTGGATATCCGTTTTTCATACCTCTGTTCAGAATTTGATTTCCTCTTCCAATGTATCTGTTATGCAGATACCTTAGGTCCTTCTAAATAACCATTTTACTAAACCTCGTTTTCACTGTATTGGACAGAAACTATGAACGTTTAGGTACTGTCCAATCCACGTAGGTTTTCTGTACACTAATCTTTTTATCGACCCATCTTGCCTTTTAGTTAATAAAATACGTCACAAAAAGGAAGCTGATTATTATTTTCTACTTTACACTATAAACTAATGGCGTCAAGTCTATGATCAAGGTGTTTAAATAGACATGCTACACAGATTCTGACGATTTAAAGTACACGGAAGTATCCTTCAAAAAGTAAAAAAAGAAATAAAATAATGCTCAGATATACGGTAAATAGGCACTAATATCTAAGGTGATAATTTGGAACAAGTTTCAATTACAGCTAAGAGACCAAACAGTAATCCCAAGAGCACAACAATAATTGATTTACTCGGAATAAGATTTTTAAGAATCTTAGATTTGACTACAAAGTTTCCCGATTAGTGACATCTGATCACTTATTTGCCAAAGTGAACTCAAGAAAACGAGGTGAGCGTTTGAGATATGTTGGAAAAACTGTTGAAAGAGGGGGGGAGGGGCAAAGAAAGAGTGAGAGAGATTAACTCACTGTAAGAATAGAGGAAATGAAGATAACCGGTAGCAGGTCACATTTAATAATACTTTGCATAAAGATACCATAGGGTTCTTTTCGTACAGAGAATAACGAAATGACTGAGTGGATAATAATAAAACAATAGTAACGTGATGAGACATTTGGACTGGATACGAACGTCAACTGTTCTCGCTCAGAGTCTTATACTTCACTGAGCCGCGAAATTAAAAAACAAAGACCAGTTTGTAAATGTTTTTATGAATATATAAAATTCCTAGGTCAGAAGTTGAACATTTAATTTCATTGGTCAACTGTAACATAAATTGTCCAATAAGGTTTTTCCTGACCGCACAGCAACATGAAACAAAGGTTGAAATCCAAAATTTCTACCTTCGTGGCAGACAACTCAAAATGCTGATTTTCAACTACTTCGCTTTTGATCAGACCGCATAGGAAGTGAATTAAAAAAAGGTTACCTATAAGCTTTATTCATCTAATCGCTTTCATTTAACGTCTTTATAAATGATGTTTCCTGTATAAGTTTCTCTTTGGTAAACTAATCTTTATATGATATGAAATTAATAAGTTGATATGGAGGAGGAGAATAATTTCACTCAACATGTGTCACTATTCACGAGCATTTCAGTGAGAGAAACAATTTATTTCCTATGTACTATCATTTAATCTTAAAATCTAGCTACTGGTCTCCTAAACTGTTATGTGAAAGTAATGCTCAAACGCAAGCTTACTTTCACTTTAGGTTTAGTGACAAAACTTAAAGATGTACCGATCGTATTAGCAGTGGGGTTGCTTCTTAGGTTACTTCATCAGGTGGACTGGCTTATTATCTAGCCTAGGTTCCGCATACAAACAGTACATGAATGACATTTTTACCATTTGTGACAGAAAGCTGAACATGAAACGCCTCTTTTAAAGGCTCAATGACAGCCAGTCTATACTCAGTTTTACATTGGGAGCTGAATAAACCTCAATATTCCATTTCTTTTGATGTAACTCTTTGACGAAGACCTGACAATCCTATTCAAAATTCCATCACAAATGAAAAATTGTGCGAAGGGGCGTAGTTGACCGATTTCCAAATCTGGATATTTTTAGACATGAGTGGAAATATTATACAGATGATGGATAGAGGCCAGCAGTGGAGCCCAGGACTCATGTTTCATCTGATTTAGGACTCGCCAGTTGGGTGAAATTGCCTCACACGCTGTGATTTCAAAGAATATACCATACCGATAGTACAGAGTGGCTATCGTGACGCAATGACCTAATGGGTAACTCTATCGCGTTTGAAATGATCGGTCTGGGGTTCAAGTCTGAGTGGGGAAAATACCATTCACTGAGAAGTAAATACACCCAGCTGCCAAGTCCCCAATGGGACGAAACGTGTGTCCTGGATTCCACTGCTAGCTACTATCGATCGTGAATGCTTAATGTGAAAATACTGGCAATATTGCAGCATCTGTACTGGAGCCCACACGCCAACAGTGGCTGATTAATTCAGTCCAATCAACGACGAAGATTTACAAGCTATAACATCCAAGACTATAGGAATCTTATGATTTCTCGTATTATGAATCAGGAAAGTACATACTTATGACACGATCAAGCATGAATCAGAAACTCTGCATGAAATATTCTTACAGAATTGTTAACCATTCAGATGTATAAACAGAAAAATGAATGGAAAGGTTACGGAACTACCCTGCTTATCTCTGAAGAAAATTCTACTCAACTTTGATGTTTTGTGTAAGATGCTTACTGGAGTGCCTGAGTCTTTGAAAAACCTTATCATATCTCACCAACTGACTCACCAAAACGTAAATTTATAAGTGTACTTGCTATTGTTCAGCTGAGTACTTTGGCCGTAATATGAACTCCCATATAGAACATGCTGGTAAACACTACCCAGGATGAAAACAAGCCGATCTTGATGCCTATCGTCAAGTTTAACTCAGTGGCCGAGTGGATAACGCCTGGCGTTTGGAGCAATCTATCTTGGGCTCCAGTGTGGAGCTGTGGTTCACTAGTTTCTACGGAGATGACTTTCGATTGATGAGTCACGGGTTCGAGTCCCACCCCAGCCAATCGAAGTTTGCGCAGCCAGGTAGTAGTATCAGTAGCCCTCATACAATAAGTGTGTGACTCATTGTCTACTACGTGAATGTGTATATGGCTGCTGAGGGCATTTCGATTGTTTTTCTACCACCAAGTATGTACTCAATTCAGAACACTTAATCCATTTAGAAATGTATTTTTAGAGCCGCTACAAAGTCCGATCGGATTGTTCCAGAGGGATGAGGATAAGACATTTGTGTACAGTCGAGGTATTGACAATCCATGCGTCTAAGCCTCAGCTGTAATCCAAGAGATGCACATATAGTCACATTTATCTTTCTTGTTTCGTCTTTTTATTTGTCTCGTATTCCGCTGGAAAAATACTCCAACTAAGTAGTCCGTTTAATAACTTCTAATTTTTATTCAAAAACTTTGTGAATTTCAGACATTTCACCGTGTTATGCTATATTCCCTAACTTAACTTCATAATCATTGCCTAATTGGATCAATAGGATCTTTCAACATACAAAGAAAGGCATGTTGGAGATAATACGTAGGATTCCCAACAAGGTTTCAGATTACAGTGTCACTTAAACCTACAAAAAGAACCGTACTCAACTACCTCGTGTAGTAAGCGATGAGTCACACAACAGGTGTGCGGGTTAGTGATACTACCTGACTGCCCAAACCTCGGTAGGTGGAGCGGACCTCCAACCCGTGACCCAATGTTTGGAGTGTCTTCTTTCTAAACAACTGATCCCCTTGTAAAAAATATTGTTCGCCTATATCTCTTGCCCTGATTCACATTTTAAAACTTGAAATAGAAGTACCTATAGAATGGTCACAAGCAACTCTCACTATGTGCCATCGACAACATGATCTATGGTTTTCAGTTAGCTAATTTGTAAATTTAGACATTTCCTTGAGAAGTAAAGATACATTGTAGCACATAGATTAGGAACACTATCCAGATAATATGCACGTTTCGGTACAATCGATGGAGCAGTTGATCCGGTTGTTGGGTTTTTAGAGCTGATCAGTGACCATGTATGGTCTGTGAGTTGAGTGACATGATACTGGAAGGAATTGTAATTGGGTATTGCAATTCCGTTGGTGCCCAGTGACCAGTTCTACACAAATTGGTAGTCATGATGTATACAGCTTACTGTTGAAGTCTTACATTCATTCAATCACCTATTAACCTGTCTCAAATGTCCTCAATGAAATGAGTCATGCTAAGGAGTCAAATAGAAATAAATCACTGCTCAGTGCGAAACGTAAAGTGAATGTTTACTAATCTACTGGAACTGGGTGTTGGGGATAAGTTGTCAGAAATGTTTTCTCATTCTAAATAATTGACTTCATTATACTGACGACAATAAAATGCAGTGTATGATAGTATTGAAGGCTAAAATGATAGTCACACGAAGTTATGTAAACACATGTAAAGTTAACTGTCAATAGAATGTTGTTATTAATTGTTGATATACTCGTAATTGCCCGTCGTTACGCTGAATCGAAGTGGTCGATCTCTGTTGGTCTATGAACTCCTACACAAACGCCTCGATATAACATGGATATTTATTAGTATAACTGACTTATTCAAAAACTTTGTAAATTCTAGACATTTCACAGTGTTATGTTATATTATCCAGCCGTCTTTTCTTGTTTTGCTCATTCTAATATATTCAACCAGTTATTGGAAATTTTTCAAGAGTTTCCTATGCTTCGAGTTATACACTTACAAATATATAGTTATAATTTTTCAAGATCCATGAAAAGAATATTTTTTGCAGGTAAACTTTATTTAATTTCAAGTTGTTATTCATCGTAGACTGACATCAGTTGTAGGAACAATGGAAACCTGGGAGCACTGGACAGCTGTTTCGTCCTAGTATGGGACTCCTCAGCAGTACGCACCCACGACCCCACCAGTAGGGATCGAACCCGCGACCTTCAGGTTCCGTGGCCAGCGCGTTACCATTGAGCCGCTGGGTCCTTTATTATTTAACCTTTACCAAAATGTAAATTTTCCTTTGTTTGTGTAAACGAAAATATCTTTCGATTGGTCGCCTCTATTTGCAAGTATCAATTCACCTGTTCCTGTGAGACAAGGTAAATCAGTTGTGGACAGAAATTGTTATCAACAAATGTGTTAGACGTTCTTTATTTGAACATATGATTGATTCGAACAATTGAATTGACCGAAACAATGCTGGAAGAAGGTTTAGGGGTGATCAGACTAAGATACGATATTAGTCCGCAAAATCCTTAACTCTTGATCTGAGGCATATAAGCAGGTGTAGACCACCTTGTTGAGTTCCCTGAGATGATAGGAATTAGTGATTAAAGATATTTGGTGACGTAGATGGAAATTGGTCACAATAGTGAAGATGTTTTCACTCGTTGATGTCTTTTAAAGCCTGAACATTTTCATTAAGGTTCATTTTCAAATTTATTCTCTTCACATTTACCTTTGTCTATTTCTGTACGACGTTCTACGATGAATTTGTCTGTTCTTTTGGATAATTTTTCTCAAAATAGGGGGGGAATATACCACAATGGTTTTGTATAACTAACTGTTCATCTTTTATGTGGTTTTCTTGTATCTCTTTATCTTGTTTTCAAAAAGGATGATAAGTCGCACTCATTCACCAATCTTTCTTCAACAGTATTGATAAATTATTGAGTTATAACGCTTATAGTTGACAGCTAATAGAAATCTAATGTATGTTCCAACTTACTTTCTTGGTATCTTGTGGTTTCGTGGGGCATTGTGTAACTGACAAGTCTTCTACACGATTTGTGCGAAAAATCATATTCATAATAGTGATAATCCACTGAAAAATGTTTCAAAGAAGAAAGAAAAAAGAAAGGAAGAACTATAGACATAACGGGGACGATTCGTAAGGTTATTCTTATGAACAAGAAAGTGGCTGCGTTGTATTTCAAACTTCTCCTAAATTCATCAACTTTGCTCGAAAATTCACTCAGTAACATTGTGCATATTCATCCAGTAGACAATGAAACACACATATTATACAAGAGTTTAATCGAACCTCGGTAAGTGGGGGAGGTGTTCGAACCTGCGACCCCACTGGTTGAAAGTCAACTCTATAAACCAATAAACCAAAGCTCCACTCGACTTCGTTAAACATCCATGTAAGATTTAAACTGATACTGTTTTGATGAAGCTTAGAAATATCAATCGAGGGTAGATGTGAAAAAGCAAGTAAGGTTAGGCAAACGAATTCAACTACATTTCTGCAGAACAACTTTCATCCATAGTGTTGAATATCGCTAGAACAGAGGATCATCCACAGATCAAATGCTGTGCTGCGCTGAAAGACAACATTCTGTTGAGACAATTATCGCTTTCAGTGCGAACAATGAGGCCACCTTCGTAATTAATACATCAGAGAACGACAAGACATCCTACAAAATTTCATTCTTAAAAAAGTACTTCTATATTAATGATAGGTAATGGGTAGCAATGGGATCCGGAACGCACGTTTCGTCCTACTTGGGACTCGTCAGCTGGATGTACCTGCCTACTGTTGAGTGATGTTGTTCCCACTAGGACTCAAACTCGATGCTGATCACTTCAAAAGCCAGGGCGTTACCCACTAGGCTACTAACTCCTGGGTATGAGTATCAGTGGGGACAACATCGCTCACTGCTAGGTGGGCACATCAAGCTGATGAGTCCTAAATAGGATGGAACGCACGTCCTGGATTCCGCAGCTAACCACTATCCATCATTAATATAAAGTTGAAAATACCAGCAATATCGAGGCAACCGCGCAGGAGCCCATACACCAATAGACACCGATCAATTCAGTTCAGTTGGCGAGGGGATAAAACAAGTAACAACATTAAAAGTACTCCTAATTCAGATAATCGGTGGTATGGTATCTTGCTGTTTCCAGTAATAGTCCTACGGTCTTATGCACGCTTGAAAATATGGACTAACATAAAGCTGATGCTCCATTGAAGGATATTTCAACTAACTGCAACTTTTAGCTCCGAAGAAGTCTTCAGCGACATAGCGTGAAAATGATCAAGCAGGAGAAATTGATGTTCACTGCATAAGACAATCAACTTTCAACAAGCTGGTTGTGCGTTTCAAAGCCTCAACTACAAAGGCTTGGATACCCAGGTCGCACCACAGATTTCAAATATTACTTGTAGCAGGTTATCTGTGTTATATGAACATTAGTGTGAACATTGTGTATTTCTAGTCCAAACCACCAATAAATTAGAACTGCTCAACTCATAATGATCATAATCTAAAATGCAAACATACAGAATTCATAGAAGGAAAGAAAAAACTTCAGCACTTTGGTAGAATGTAATGCCATATTAGCTGATTTATTAAATGTATCAGAAAGTGGGACATTATACTATATACTGGATTACCTTACAAATACAATTCATTGTCCACAACTATATTAAAATAACTCCACACGTTTAAGACATGAGCTACACGGATCTAATTTTCCTCGACTAATTTGTGATCGAGGTAGACTGTTGTATGTATTTGGTGTTGATTCAATAAACAAAGATTCAGTCATCAATCCTCCCGTCCAACCTACTAGGTTAGTTTTAAGGATTATCACTCCATCGTTTTGTGTGACTGTGTAATATTGCATACATAGCAATGGTCGAACTTTTTTCTAGATTCCTTATCTTACTAGGATCTGTCAATTTTGATTTAGGAAGGTTTTTATGCCTGAAGAACCTAACTGATTCTAATCGACTATTTCGACCTATGTATTTGACTTCACAATCACTTCAAGGAATTTCGTAAACTGAATTATTTTGCCTAATTAGATCAATAGGATCCTTTAACGTACAAAAAAAAGACACATTGGAAAATTTACGTAGTATTCTCAGTAAGGATGTGATTAGAGTTGTACTTAAACCCACAAACAGAACTGTTTTTATGCTCAACATCATCTTGAGCGCTGACAGAGTTGTACGGGTGGTTGAAACTTCCCGGTTGCCCACACCGTGAAAGGCTAGATTTTCTTAAGTTATCTGAAAAAGAAGGGCTAGTGTGTGACTGCTTGAGGCCGGTCACGTACGGCCTTATTGATGCCATGAAAACTGGGCTGTATTATGAAGGTGATGGTCAGACATACGTTCTGTAGTTTGGGACCACCAATAACCACTGATGACTGATCTAAACCATCATTTCGTTGTTTAAGAACATGTTAAGAGTAAGGGTAACTGCTTTTTGTCTAATTACTGTCCAACAGACCATTCTGGTGTGGCAGCACCTAAAGGGAACAAGCATTTCACCAGCATAGCTTGTTGGGTCATCGTGATATACAAGCCCGATCACCACGTCATGGTAGCAGCTATCGGTCGGGCGTTGTTATGCTGAATCGAACTGATCGACCTCTGTTAGCATACGGACTCCTATAGAGACGTGTTGATACTATCTGGATATCTATTGGTATAATCGATCTGGCAGTAGCTACGAGTGGAATCTAGGATGTTTCGTCGCATATGGAACTCATCAGCTGGCTGCACCTACGCCTCAGTGAGTGATGGTGTTTCCACTGGCATTCGAACCCCACACCCATCGCTTCAAACACCAAGACATTCGTTATCCACTGGGTCAGTGACGAGTCCAAAATAGGAAGAAACGAGCATCTTGGATTTTACTGCTAACCGCCATCAAGTCAATTAGTGGAAAGTGTTTAAAATATACGGATTACGATAACATTGCCTTATTTTCTAAAGAATGAATATTTTGACAAATTGTTCAGTTTCAGAAGCAAATCAAGGATGTTCACTTAAAAGGCAAATTTTGTTTCCATAAAGTATGTGATAATTCTTTAGTGTTGAGCACTTTCAAATTCCACTGCATGAATGGAAATAGACGGAGCTTGGTCTCTTCCACAAAATGCTTTTCTATAGCTTATTTAGAATAGTTAATAACATGTAATTCCTAGTCGGTGTAGTTACCTAGTGTTTAGACCAAAGTGCAATGGTAGGAGTAGGTATCAAGCAATAAACATCAAACTGCTGATGATACATACGATCTAGAATCATGAGGGAATGAACAGCGTAAGAACAACGTTGGAATACCTTACAGTAATTCGTCTCAAGCATAGTCCTATAAGACAAGCAACTACTTTGTTCCAAGTGGATGAAGAGAGTATTTTAGCCAGCATATGAATAAACGTAAAACATACCTCAGTAGAGAAAACAATCTGAGATTAAATGGACTGATGGTGAGAATACTTTCATCTTAATACAAAGTCGTCATCTTCTAAAACTATTCACCGTCCTGCTAAGACTGTTATTATGAGTAAAGTGAAGAACAGATTTGATGTATACTGCATGACATAACTGTACTTCACTGGACGGTACCAAAATGCTCTCAGTAACCTTGTGTACATTGGTGCTGTAGGCAATGATTCACACCAATTGTATGAAGGCTAGTGATACCATCTGGCTACCCAAACCTCGGTAGGTGGAGTAATGTTTGAAATTGTGACCTGTTAGTTGAAAGCCAATTGCCTTAAACCAGCAAACTCCATGTAAAGATGGTATGTAATATAGACAACTACTAATAAAACTATTTCGTCACTTGACATAATCCGAGTATACGCACATCCATAAAAATGACAATAATATGAAACATCACTAGTAACCAAACCAAATCAATGAAAACAAGAAGTTACCTCATCTCGTTCAGTTTCACTTTCTGCTTGAAAAAGTATCGTCCTTCAAAGCGTAGAAAGAAACAATGGAAGAAAAACATTAAATAGTTAAACTTCAAGTTTAATAAACGTGTGCGGAATTCCTGACTTAGAAATTTACCGCTAATAATGACTAAGCGAATGTTTTGGACGGTTGGTAGCTACCATGAAACACTATTGTCCAACACACCATCAAGATAACTGAAATTATTATTGATATAATAGAACTGAATACGGTTCAATCACCTATTCTTCTTCGAAATGTCCAGACAGACAGACAGAATCGACGTAGAACCTCACACTGAACTGCAGTGGTTCAAGTTGCCACACTTAACAGCAGTATATGAAGATAGGAGGATAGGACAAGTGTAATATCTAAGTGGGTAAAGTTGTATGAAAGAATAAACAATCTGAAGATAACGGTTAGTGCGAATATTCAAGGTTTAGAAGACGTCAGCGAGTGAATACATCTGCGCACTGTGACCTATGAATTTTCCGCCATGTCACTAAGAGTCCTCAACTACTGATCTCTATCGTCTCAGGGACTCTAGCCAAGACGTGTACATCTTCTAACACGGCTAAGACCAACAGTCAGGGAATTCGTCGGCTGATGCCACATCTTGGTCTGGTCACCATCTTTCAACCTAATCCAACTTTCCGTAGTATGGCATGTCGAGGTAGGCAGTGGATGGGAATCCACAGTGAGTGTTCAAGCCATCTCACCCAACGCAGGTTCACAACCTCATCAATCGACTTGCCTATCTTGTCTAGTAACCTTTGCCTGATTTTAACATTGCTCATACGATGCTTTGATTCCACTAAACGTGAGCAATGCTTCAAATACATCTGTGATGTTCCTTAAACAGCTACTGAGACAGGTAAGGAATTTTTGTACTGAACTTTCACATTATAGATAATCTTCTTAGAAAACAGACAAAACACAGCACTGCTCAACAATCTAGACCAGTGAATCAATTTCTCTTACACTTTTTCATGTTTCATGATGGCAAATAAATAGGATCATCTATAAACTTTCATCATTTATGTATGAAATACATGGCAGGCTGCTGAGAATTAGTACGGTAATGTTTATGCCAGAATGAAGAACACTCACTCCACCATAGCTCGAAAAATTCATATACCAACTTGGCTAGAATATTTCACCTTTCTTTACAAACAGCTGTAAGTAGAGAATATCACCTTTTCTCCCGGACTTAAAACTGACCATTTAAACGCACTTTATTATTATTATTATTACTATTATTATCTATCCTTTAGGTTCCTAGTGGAACATAGGGCTTCAATAACACATCACCACTTCACTCTATTCTCTCTAGTCTTTCCAACCCGGCTCCACCACTGCCCAGAAGCTCTCATTTCTCCCTCACACCATCCCCTCCATGTCACCCTCAGCTAGGATCCCCAACTCATCATTTCCCATTTGGGTTCCACTCGACGCCCTGACCTGGCCTGGCCTGGTGTGGTGTGGTGTGGTGTGGTGTGGTGTGGTGTGGCGTGGTGTGTTATGTTCTCGAATAGTTTTCTCAGTGTATGTGCAATCCAATCCAATCCATCTCCACTTTCCTCTTCTCCATATTTGTTGGACGATTGGTTCTTGGTTGGTTGGTTGGTTGGTTCGTTGCTAGCCAGAGTGAGTTCCTTGTTGCTTATTCTTTCTGGCCTTCTGATCTGATCTTGAGTATCGAGTGAGCGTAGGAGGCAGCTGCTGGTGTATGATTTCTGCAGTTCGTTGGAAATGCTTTTCGTAATGCACCAAGTTTCTCAACCATCATATAGAAACACTGACTTGACTGACATTAGTGTTGAAAATCCGGATGTTGTTCACACTTTATGCTGAGTCGAGTGGAGTGGAGTGGAGTACAGTGCAGTGCAGTTCAGTGCAGTGCTGTAGATCTCCACACTGACTTCAGATTAATGTAGGAAGGCCTGTCTTACTGTCTTTCCGGTCCCCACTTTGACATCCTCATCTGCGCATGTGCCTGTCCCGCTGCCGCCTGTAGTTGTAACGATGCTGCCTGCCTACGTAGGTAGATGGAAGAGACAACTTCCTTTCGATTTCTCCCACTCATGGTGATTGGTGCTCGTTATTGACGTTGTTGTTGTTGTTGTTGTTGTTGGTTGGGTATCTTCATCACCTCTGTCTTCTCTATGTTCACGTGAAGGAAGTGGCGTCTCCACTGTCTCGCCTCTTCTGCCAACTTCTTGGTTTTCGCCTGTAGATCTTGGAGCTTGTGCGACATAAATCATCATCGGTGAAATCCAAATCTTCTAGAGTCTTTTCATCGTTCAAACAGCGCATACCCCTCTTCTCGCTCCTCAAAGTTTGTTGATTTAACCGGGCTTACTTAGATAATTGACAATTAAACCATCATATGCAGAAATATGATCAGTATCTCCTACTGCTTCGTCCTATCATTTCTCTATTAGTATTCATTGTCGAAGTTGTTGTTAATGATTTTCGAAGGACAAATGCATGCTAGACGTGTGGAAAGTGTATTTATTTTTATTATTTGTCCCTTGGGTTCCTAATGGAACGTAGGGCTTCAATGGAAAGTGTATGGCATAGTCTTATTCACTTAGAACAGCTGTTGCTCCAATCAGGCAGGCAGGATGACAGTCAATTTATGCTCGATGAGTGATAAGTAGAGATAGTTACGAGTTAATCTCTCTAACAATGATTTTTAAGCAAAAGCTTTGGAAACTGTCCAACATATAATTAATGAAATTGGGAGAAAAGGTGAATACAGTATCCGTTACCAACTAATATCGATTAGAGAACATCTGAAAACCATCCAGCTTTAGCCTACTGGTTTTTTTACCTTGAAATTTCTCCTAATCAATATCAGACAACCATATATTCATAGATCAGTACAACAAAAAAATGGTATCAGAATATACAAAAAGGATATACAGAGACAGAATCATTTTGAAGATGGCACATCTGAGTCAGTGCGATTAATTATTCACTATTTCCCTAAGGATCTTCAGGTATTGATTTCCAGCACTTTAATGATCCTCCGGTAAGGTGACTCATAATTCTCTATACGAGTGAGATCAACAGCCAGAGCTGGTACACTGACTCTGGAAATGTAGCTCACTGGTTTAAGCACTTGGTTTCCGACCGAATGGTCTCACGTTCAGTCCTCGCTTCATCGAACTCGGTCTACGCAACCGGACATTATCATGAGCCCTAATACAAATGTGGCTCACAGCCTACTGTATAAAACCCGTATAGTCCGTTGAGGTTGATTGTCGGTCAGCATAGTTAGCTAGTATTCTCTTTCCACTCCAGCCAGTGTACGTTCACAACTTAGGTGATACTTTATGTTACAGGTCAACACTGCTTACTCTATGCTTCTACAACACCCAAATTGTACTCAAAAAACAGCTGTGACTAAATATCTTTAACCCTCATTTGTTTTCCGAAACCAATTGAACAAACTGGTATGTTTATGTGCCGGGTCATAAGCTACCTGTAATGTATGAAGACTTGTGATACTATCCGGTTGCCTGTACTGGTGAGGGTGAAATGGGAGAGAGGAATTAACTAGAAACCTATTTCTTCAAAGACGAATGCCTAAACCAATGAACCACACTTTAAACCTACGGATCTACTATCTTCAATGCGGATTCTTCATGCTATACTTAAGTGAACTTAAACTTCGTGGTAAATAAAATTAGTCAATTAAGCATTAATTTATAAGCAACAAGGAACTCTGGCTGGCAACGATCCAACCGACCAACAACCTATCGTCCCACAAGTATGCAGAAGAAGAAAGTGGAGATGGATTGGATTGCACAAACACTGAGAAAACTATTCGAGAACATAACACACCACGCCACACCACACCACACCACACCACACCACACCACACCACACCAGGCCAGGCCAGGCCAGGCCAGGTCAGGGCGTCGAGTGGAACCCAAATGGGAAATGATGAGTTGGGGATCCTAGCTGAGGGTGACATGGAGGGGATGGTGTGAGGAAGAAATGAGAGCTTCTGGGCAGTGGTGGGGCCGGGTTGGAAAGACTAGAGAGAATAGAGTGAAGTGGTGATGTGTTATTGAAGCCCTATGTTCCACTAGGAACCTAAAGGATAGATAATAATAATAATAATAAGCATTAATTTAAAATCCAGCGGTGAACAATTTCTGAGCTCACTTACAGTGTAATCACCGTCTAATAACCAATGCCCTATTTATTGCTCAATTAATGACAACAACTATCTTCAAACTATATAGTTCTCTTTAATGTGATGAGTCAATGCAACATGACTAAAAATCGGCGCAGATGTATTCACTCCCTGAAATCTTCTAAAACTTGAATGTTTTGATAAACCTTCAATCATCACCCAGCATAAATACTAGTCTGAGAAACTACGGCTATCTCAGATAGTCAAATCATAAACCTTCATTGATTAATTCCCTCTCCTCCTATACACCTTTGTCTACTTTGATAACAGTCTTTCCTATCCATCTATTTTTTGTATACCACTGTGAAGTGTGGAAAGTTGAACCAATCCACATGTATGCGAGGTTTTACGTCAATTCCGTCTATTTGTCTTTCTATCTACAGAAATAACTTTTTCAATGAAAACCAATCCTTGAAATAAATATTTACAAGATGATAAGATTTTTTTTAAATCCTCCCAAACGATGGCTTACACACAATGAAAACAAACAGCTGATTAAAGGTCTGAATTCGTCATGGAGTGACATTAGTTGGAGGAATATTGGAAACCTGAGAGCACTGGACAGCTGTTTCGCCCCAATATGGGACTGCTCAGCACTGCGTACTTATGACCTCACCAGCGGTCAACCCAGTGGATCAATAGTAACGTCCTGACCACGGAACCTGAAGGTCTAAGGTTCGATCCCTGGCATAGCGGGGTCATGGGCGTGCACTGCTGAGAAGTCTCATATTAGGACGAAACACCTATCCAGTACTCTCAGGTTTCCAATATTCCTCCAACTGATGTCAGTTAATGATGAATTCCAACCTAAAATCAATGAATAAACTCCCACAAACCTCCAGATAGAAACAGCTGATTAACTTGCTACAATTTATGTAAGGAAATTCAAATAGTCCGGAAGAGATTAACACGATATATATATATATATATATATATATATATATATATATATATATATAAATTGAAAGTTGGGAATAAGTCAAGGCATATGTGCATACCTATGGTATTTTTCGGTGTGAACATTACCAAGAATGAGTTTCATTTCGGCATACAACCAAGAAAATTTCTGATTGACAAAATGTACATAATAATCGCATTTTTGAGAAACTGATGTTGAGTTCTAACGATTTTCTCAATAAATATGATCATATTTTGATCGGATATGAAAGAAGAAAATTATCCAGACACTAGTTAACAACTCACTTTCGTTCTGTAGGTGATACAACCTGGAATACATTTCGTCGATCATCAACATCTGTAGCTTCAGTATAGACTCCTTTTTGATTTAAATCGAATAATAAACTGGCAGCGATCTAAACATTGATAAGGAAAAAGGCATATTACAGAATTCAACAGAATACGCTGATAAATGCTATCATACTTCAAGGGAGGCTATGACATTCACTATAACAACTAAAACGATCAAAAACCAAGCAACCAGATAACTACAGTTCAATATCAATCCATCTAAATCAACATAGGACTAGGCATTACTGTGTAACCGTCCGAGTTGCCACACCTCATATCACTACATCAAGTAAATAGGTAGTGAAGTGGAAGATGAAGAAAAGAAAATTCAGTCAAAAGAAATATAAAGTACTTAAAGAGAGAGAAGGGAAGAATGAGAAAATGGTGAGATTCGGTATAGCGTCATGAAGATGAGGATAATGTCTATGGGGATACATCTGTGCCACTGACTTCGGTTCTCAGCCATATCGCCACCTAGAGTCAGTCTCCAACCACTGGTTCTTTTCTTGTCCAGCGGACCCCAATCGGTTAGTCTGTATCGCCCCACATAGCTCAAACCAACAGTCAATGACTTCATACATTGATGCTATTGTTTTAGTCTGATCACCTCCGGCCTTTTTCCAGCCTGAACCTAATTCAGTCAACATTATGTGTGTTGTCGCATACAGCCTACTTACGGAGGTATGCAGACATATAGCGAAAAACTGTACAACAATAGACAGTTGAAGAGTAACACAACACGCTAGTCACTAAGACGTGTAACACTGAACTATTGAGTATTTCGTAACAGTAGATCAGTGGTAAGCTCTTCGAACTTCACCATTTAAGTGAAGGCAGTATAAGGTGATCCGATGATCACTACTAACAAGTAGGAAATGTAGGTCACGCTACGTTTACAAACACTTTTATTTGAATAACGAATATGAAAGACTTTCACTCTTAAAATAATAGTCCAGTGTTACTTTAACTCTGGCATAGATTCGAAAATTTTTCTAATACTGCCTAGGCAGTTTCTTTTTGACAAATTCTTGAAACAAATACCTTTATTAAACAGTACATGTTTAAATTGTAATCTTCAGAAGTGCTATGAATGCGAAATTTTGAATACACTCTGCCAAGAAGCTTCATAACAAAATGATCTGTCAACAGTCAGACGTTTACTGTGTAACTAACTTGTCACGCTATCCCTCTGGTGCCATACATAATAAGTGATGAACATTTTAGCCCCTCCCCCCCCCACCCTTCCTTGGAAAACGTAAAATATTAACTATCAACACAAACTATTACTACTAAACTCCGGGTTCTGATATGAAAAAAAAAGTTGAAAAGCACTCAGTAACCACGTGCACTCTGGTGCAGCAGGCAATGAGTCATACCTATTATGTGAGGGTTAATGATACTTCCTGGCTCCCTAAACTTAAGTAGATGGAGTCAAGTAAGAATCCGTGATCTGCTGGTTGAAATCCAACTGCCTAGAAACCAAAAGACCACATAAGAAAACTTACGTAATCACCAGTCTTGCTGGAAATTTTGATTAGTGAAATTTCTTATACACAATGATCGATGTGGTCATCTATTAGATTTCCATTACACAGAGAGATACCCACTTAGTACCACGCATATCCCAATTGTACTTAGTGGTATCCTTTATTGATCTCTCCTAAGTCAATTAGATTTATCCGGTTAGTCAGAAGGAATGCACTCAACAACCAAGTGCAGATTACTGCAGTAGGCAACAAGCTACACCTATTGTGTGAGGGATAGTGATACTGCCTGGTTGCTTAAACCTTCATAGGTGGAGCAGGGTTCGAACCCGTAACCGCCATTTCCCTAAACCAATGAGCGACAGCTTCACAATTATATTCTGTTAAGTGTGGCAAGCTGAACTCAAGCACTAGTTTGTGAGTCTCCTCATTGTTTTATTCAGTCAACCAATGAAAATGGATGATAATACCATATAGATGATGTGTCCATGAAGTTAAAAATTCAGCTACACGAGCTGACAGAACACTGCCAAGCTCAGCCCCACACCAGTAAGCTGGATGTCTGGCGTTTAGGCCAATCTGATCTGACAAGCGAAATCTACAGATCACTTTCAGTGATTTTTGACTACTTATTTTGTTCAGTGGTATTTTCAGCGATTGAATATTGCCTTGTAAGAAAAAAATACGAAATCATTTCAGTTTAACAGTCATTTGCTAGTGCATGTACTGACTACAAGTTACATCTGTTGTTCTACAGAGGCAAGACAGGCAAGTTAATTGATGATTTTTTTTTTAACCTTAGTGAACTGAGATTGCTTGGACATATACTGTGCATGGTGAACTAATACACATCTTGATGTGACATGCCAGGGGAAGTTGGATGAGGTTTGAAGAAGGTTCAGGGTGGCCAGAGCAAAAGTGACATCAGTTGATGAAGTCTCTGACTAATGGTCCGAGTCGTGTGGGGAAACATAAACTGCCTGATTGGGGTCTAAGAGACGACGGGAATCAGTAGTTGAGGACTCTTGGTGACACGGCTGAAAATTAGTCGGTCACACTGCGTAGATGTATTCACTCCTCGACATCTAAAAGTTGAATATTTGCACTAACCACCTGTGTGCGAGGTCATACATTGATTTTGTCAATCAGCCACTACAGCAGCTATGCTGCATGTGAATGTGTGCACCCAATTTTACATGGAATCCGTTCTAGTATGCAATTTTATACTTATAGTAAAAGTTAGTTGATGTAACTATTGTACTGCATCTCTTCTGTATAGATATGAAAGAACATACAAAATCTGAAATAAATTCACCTATTTTATTCTACATCCCTTTGATAATCAATAAATTATAATTAACAGATTTGTAAAAGTCAAACATACATCTCCATACTGTTGATACATAAGATTACCATTCTGTGTTAGACAGTAAACTTCTATCCATCTCCATCCCAAATTGACACGAGTACGCATTAATAAGCAACCAGATTTTGTTAACAGTTTACGATTCGGTTCCCGTGGGTCAATTTGAGCATTGAAATCTTGATTAGGCGCTAAAAGTGATATTTTTTTTTAAATGAAAAACCTTTTTAGAATTATATATGCAAACTCTACTTCATAATACACTTAGCCACAAAACTATAAACGATATGTATATTAAAGCTGATAAGGAAATCAATTCCACTTAGTTTATCCGAATAAAAACTTCACTGTGTTGCCATACACTAAGAAAGATAATTTTATTAATGTATTTTTGAGATGAATGGGGATTTTTTAATTTAGAAGTAGTATTCATCATGGACTGACATCAGTTGGGGAAGCATTGAAAATCTGGGAGCACTGGATAGCTGTTTCGTCCAACTAGTATGGGACTCCTCAGCAGTAAGCACCCACGACCCGGCTACGGGTCGAACTCACCACCTTCAGGTTCCACGGCGAACGCGTTAACCATTCAGCCACTTGGCCGGTTTCCAGTGGTTCACAATTTCCAACTTCTGTCAATTCACGACATAGCGCGACTGTCACCCAAGGTCTTCAGTTAGCATCCAATTCACTTCCGACTGCTTGACCCCACAGGTCACGGCTTCTCATTAGAACTTCCTAATATCCATCTGGAAGCAAGTCACTAATGAACACTAGAGAGTTCGACCCCTAGCCGGGTCGTGGGTGCGCACTGTTGAGGAGTCCCATACTAGTTGGACGAAACAGCTGTCCGGTGCTCCCAGATTTTCAATGCTTCCCTAACTGATGTCAGTCCATGATGAATACTACTTCTATAACTTCATTAAGTTTGATTCATATGAGTATAATTCTTCAGATGAACAATTTTAAGTGAACACATATCCAAGCACTACAGAAAGCGAATGCATAAACATGTAAACCTCCATAATAAAAATGAAAATGACGTGTGACTCAATCGCAAAGAGCTTAAAAGATTAGAAGAATCAGGTAATAACCATGGTAAATTATTCAGCTAGTTTTTTCAATATTTTAAACTCGGCGATATTGTTGAGCTAACAATATCCTGTAGACATTAAACAAACTAAATTATGATTCATTCCTTACAATGGCATCCTAAACAACTCATCTGAAAACTTCGTGGACTGTCATTTTTTTAAAATCCAGCCACCTTTAGCCCTTGTGTAATATCAAATTAAATCAGCTAACAGTGTGCAACGAGGTAGGCTATCTTTTTATGAATCTCACTTTTTCTGGTAGTAACGGTCATAACTACAACCTTGAATGATGAAAGTTTGAATGTCCAAAGAAGTAACAGTTTCGAAAAGGTTCCAGAGATACTATGCTAGAGAGTGTAGGCAAGCACAAAATTTACATTCAGAACTTCTTATTAGATGCATTCAATCATATAACATTAAACAAAACACAAAGTATTCAGTATCTCACTAAAAGCTAAGGTGACTTCTAATAATCAGTTTTTAAGGTTTTAATTTTACGCAACTAAGAGTGGATTATCAAAAGAACCATATAAAGTACAAGCATTTTATGGTGAAAAATGCAAAATGATTTTTTTTTAAAAATATGACGTTTTCGTCTACAATATCAAATGACTGATGAGTTTCAGATATCTAAACAGTCAATATGACAATATCTCATCCATTATGCATGTACATAAAGATACTATAAACTAAGTAATTATGCAAATATAAGTGAAAGATCACTAAACGTTTGGATACAACAACTCAATCAGTAAACACATGTGATAATCTATCCAAAGTGTAAACAACAAACAGTTTAAAGTAATACTTAGGTCATCCCTTCAAAAAAATACTGCCCTCCCAAGTATTAATAGTAATGCATAGCTAAACGAACAAGTTGAATATGAATTTGTTTACAATCATATGTATATGAGAATAAAGCAAAATAGAATGTACTCACTTATATTTAAAATCCACGGTTCGGGACAAAAATAACTAAGCGATTTATGTTCAACTGAATTGAGGTTCACTACAGACTTCCGTTTCACATCATCAAATGAAACTACATATCTATAGATCAGGTTCAAAAAAGTATTTTTCGTGAGTACAAAAATTATGATATCCAATTAAGGCATAAAATACTTTGTAACTTAGACACGCTTATATACAACACACTCAGAGACAACAGTGGACATGCTCACACTATAATTGCAGAAGCTTAGGAAGGAAGGAAGGAAAGGTACCTGCCCAATGTTTGAAAGAAGGGCTACCTTGTCAAACTCTCAAAGAAGGATGACATAAGTCTTTGCAAAAACTGGCACAGAATTATGCTCCTGTCCACCCCAAGCAAAATATTAAGCCACGTCATCCTGGAGAGACTAAAAAATGCTCTGCATTCAAAGTTACGACCCGAACAGGCTGGATTCAGGAAGTACAAATCATGTGCGGACCAAACTGCAACGCTACGCACCATCATGGAACAGAATGTAGAATGGTAATCAACTCTTTACTTCAACTTCATCCACTTTGAAAAGGCCTTCGACAACATCGACCAAGAAGTAATTTAGCAGGTAGTTGATTCGACACTATGGTTTTAGTGTCACAAACCTTTACCAATCTCATTCAACAGCAGCTATATGCAAAATGATGCTACATGCCAAGTGATTCACAACGGAGAGCAGCTCAGTGACGCTTTCGAAGTGAAGACAGGAGTAAGACAAGGTTGCCGCCTACTATTACCGACCATCTTCCCGATCGTGGTCGACTGGACTGGATCATGCAACAAACTGTGAGGAGCGAGAAGAGGGGTATGCGCTGTTTGAACGATGAAAAGACTCTAGAAGATTTGGATTTCACCGATGATGATTTATGTCGCACAAGCTCCAAGATCTACAGGCGAAAACCAAGAAGTTGGCAGAAGAGGCGAGACAGTGGAGACGCCACTTCCTTCACGTGAACATAGAGAAGACAGAGGTGATGAAGATACCCAACCAACAACAACAACAACAACAACAACGTCAATAACGAGCACCAATCACCATGAGTGGGAGAAATCGAAAGGAAGTTGTCTCTTCCATCTACCTACGTAGGCAGGCAGCATCGTTACAACTACAGGCGGCAGCGGGACAGGCATATGCGCAGATGAGGATGTCAAAGTGGGGACCGGAAAGACAGTAAGACAGGCCTTCCTACATTAATCTGAAGTCAGTGTGGAGATCTACAGCACTACACTGAACTGAACTGCACTGTACTCCACTCCACTCCACTCGACTCAGCATAAAGTGTGAACAACATCCGGATTTTCAACACTAATGTCAGTCAAGTCAGTGTTTCTATATGATGGTTGAGAAACTTGGTGCATTACGAAAAGCATTTCCAACGAACTGCAGAAATCATACACCAGCAGCTGCCTCCTACGCTCACTCGATACTCAAGATCAGATCAGAAGGCCAGAAAGAATAAGCAACAAGGAACTCACTCTGGCTAGCAACGAACCAACCAACCAACCAACCAAGAACCAATCGTCCAACAAATATGGAGAAGAGGAAAGTGGAGATGGATTGGATTGGATTGCACATACACTGAGAAAACTATTCGAGAACATAACACACCACGCCACACCACACCACACCACACCAGGCCAGGCCAGGCCAGGTCAGGGCGTCGAGTGGAACCCAAATGGGAAATGATGAGTTGGGGATCCTAGCTGAGGGTGACATGGAGGGGATGGTGTGAGGAAGAAATGAGAGCTTCTGGGCAGTGGTGGGGCCGGGTTGGAAAGACTAGAGAGAATAGAGTGAAATGGATACTTGTTACTGAAGCCCTATGTTCCACTAGGGACCGAAGGGACAAATAATAATAATACGGCAGAAGATTCTCGGTATCATAAAATGATCTTAATAACCCGGGCGAATGTATATTTGGAACATTTAGATATTTGATAAGAGAATTAGGAGGCGAAGTTGAATACTGATATCGTCAACTAAGTAATAGGATAGAAAAACTTGTATGTAACCAGCAAACAGGTTGTTTGAACCAGAGAGTTACTTAACATAGAGGTGCATGTCCAAATACATTTCATTGAAGGAATGATAACTAACGATATAAGATGGCTGTTCAAATCTTGCAGGTTAAGAGAAGTTCCAGTCCAAAATTCCACTAGTGGAAATCAACAGCTCAAAGTAATGAGCCAGAGTTCTACAGGTAAGAACCAGAGATTACCATTTCTGCTGGTCATTAATAACAATGAGTTTGATTAAAACTGCTCTTAAGGTGGTACTGTGACATATCTAGTCGAATATTTGACTCTTCACGTTTTCCATATTCGAATTCCCCTCTCATTACTCCATTATGGGCAGTCGACTAGTGTCATAAACCTTCACACAAAAGGGGGACAGCTTATGCTTAGTTATCCTCTCCGCAGACATGCACCTGAAGTTCTCGTCTTCCGATCGCCCACACACAGACTTCAGTACTGTCTGTTTGCTGTAACCGGTAAGATGCAAGCACACATGACTGTACTAACGCGTGATCGGATTCCAGACACGTACTCCAGGAACAGCTGCAAACCTCCATCAATCCTCTTCAATGGTAGCTAATAGCACTATGCTTTGTATTCACCGTTGGTTTGGTATCGGTGGACACCATGTGAGACTGTCTCCTCCTATGCTGTAGCTATTCCTGACCAGAAACAATTGATTGTCAGAACATAATTGTAAAAGACGATAACCATTGCTGGTTTAAAATAAGAGTAAAACTTGGGCACTGTGGTCGATTGTAATTCCATTTTAGTCTGTTTATTAGAAATATCACAGTGATCCAGTAAACGCTACTGTTTCACTGTGTGATATTTCTAATAAACAGACTAAAATGGCATTGTTGGTTTGTTGGCATGAGATATCGTAAATACCTAAAACATACAATTCCGATTGACTCCGCATTTTTTATACCAACGCAGAAATCGCTTGTGCACGGGTCATCTGGTTAAGGTCGATATTGGATTAAGATTTGATCGTGCTGACGCTAAATAAAAAAAGCGCATACCACTGGCACCGAAATACTATAAGACAGGAAGTAGTGTGCTATTTTTAGGATAACTTTTCTGAACCCTCCACCTTTTTATAGGGAAGGCAGAATCAGAATTGTACTTCTAGTCGTCATCAAGAAAACCTTTTTTGCTATTACACTCCACCCAACCAGCACTACAACTTTGCCATCAGACTTTCCATCATAATTTAGCTACTTACAGTATATGAAGGTGATCTCTTTTAGTATTACCAACAAACTTTTTGATATGATGGGTACTCAGTGAATAAATGTTCCTGACCGAATAGCTTGTTGAGTCATTGTGATCGGCAAGCCCAACCACAAAGGTAGCAGCTATTAGTTGGGTTCAGCTGCAGTAGCATGAACAGATAAAATACTAATTCCTTATAAATTAAAAACCACTAATCCTCGACCTGTCACACAGACAAATAATGAACAATCAACTGAGGTGATACTGGCTTTAAGATGATTTGAGAAGCACCTAAAACTGACCAGAAAAGTGTGTAATGATGAACTATTGAGTACACTCTAAAGTGAATATTCGACTAAAAACTGAATTAAATCGAGACGCTTTGTCACTATTATTTAACGTGTATCTAATCAATGCCAGAAAAATCAATCTATAAAAGAAATTCCTTTTATAATTCTATGTACTATGAAGTTTAAAGCAACGAAGGATGAGATTAATTCAGGAAGCGCCTGTAGCATTAATTATGTATACCAAAGTGATGAAAATGTAACCAGTTGGCGAGTTGTATTATTTACGCAAAATGATGAATGGTCTTACTAATCAGATGTTTCAAAGTATGCGAGCTAAGCTTGCTCTACCCACGAACAAACAAACAATTTAAATGTCTGTAAGACTGCAAATATAATAGTTGCAACTGTATTGTAAAATCCTGCTCTCCAAAGCATAAAGTATACACAGCAAGATTGAAGCTAAACAATAGTACAGTCTTTAGTATTCCATTGTATGATGAACCTGCTTTATAACGGTTGATGACTTACCATGAATAACTCATTCCAAACTACGACGGTTATACTTATACTCAAACAAAAGGAGACGAGGTAAACAACGTACGAAAGCCCAAATGCCAAACAAATATATTCGGGTTTATTCTGATGTCTGTAGGTTATTTAGCATATTTTCTCAATAAATTTCCTGTAAAATTTAGTGATATACTGAGAGGAAAATGAAAACCAATAATTGATAAAAAGTTCCATGCATTAGGATTTGACTGTTTCACATCTTTAACTGTCCTTATCTTACAAGATAAAAACATTTGGAAGAGTAAATAAGCAGTCACGCACAAGCATAGCCAAATAAAAGTATCATAACTTGACATCCGTGTACAACTTGAAGCACCAGGAAACAGAGCATTTGTAATGGCTGCGGACTGTAATACTACTTGGTTGAATAAAGTGGGTTATGTGCGGTTCGAACATGTGACTCACCAGTTGGAAACCCAGTGATTTGCAAATTGAACCTCTTAGTGAGAGATGTGGGTAATTGAGGAGGATATCAGGTTCGTGTACAAGAAATCCCGTTAAATGAAATCAGGTTTCCTAAGGAAATATGCTTAACAAAGTCCTTCATAATCAATCGAAAAATGGGGATTAAACCATGAAAAACAACTCACTTTTGTAAGGATCTTTCAGCTGTTTCGATGAGTGAATGTACAATATCTTGGCTAAATAAATTGTATGAAGTGTGTATGTGGTTCTTCTGCCCTGCTATAAAGTTTCTAATCGACATAAGTGGTGCGAGATCACGAATCTGTTCAGCTTCATTCAGATGACCATAATAACGTGCAGCCATGCATGCAAATTTTCGACGAGCCTGAAAAACAAAGTTATCCGCAAATTCACATTAAAATGGTTGTATGAGCTCTATTTATAAATAAATACGAATATGAGCAACGGTGAAGTCAGGCGAAGGGTACTGGGCAAGACAGGCAAGTCGATTGATGTGGTTATGAACGTTGGTCGTTTGAGATGGCTTGGACACGTACTGAGCATGCCAGTCCACCACCTACCTCGATGTGGTATGCTAGGAGAAGCTAGATTATGATGGGAAAGGGTCTAGAGTAGCCAAACGAAGACGTGCCACCAGTCGATGAAGTCTCTGACTGCTAGTCTGAGTTGTGTGGAGAGACGCAAACTCCCTGGTTGGAGTCCTGAAACCAAGGGAATCAGTGGTTGAGGAATCTTAGTGGCGTGGCTGGGAATCGGTCACAATGGCGCGGACATATTCACTCCTAGACATCTTTCAAGGTATGAATATCCACCCTAACCTTTATTTTTAGATTGCTCACATTACTTTGTCTTCTTTTATATCATTTTTTAAACACCTGTTCTTTGTGTACTACTGTAAAGTGTGACAACTTGAGCCGATGCACTTGTGTGCAAGAATCTACGTTGATTTTGTTAGCCAGTCGGTCAGCACTACAAGAAAGAAAACTAGTCATCAAAAAATGATCACAGAAACAATTTCAACAGGTCCTAAACACTAGTATGTCTTATAAAGCTGCTGCGAAGACAGATAGTAGACATTACAAACAAAGAATCTGGCACTGCTGAGTAGTGGTTCAAGTTTTCACACATCGAACGTTAGCATATCAATGTAAACATGACCAAGAGTTACAGAAATTTATATAACGGAATGAGTTATTATTATTTTTTCCCTTGGGTTCCTAGTGAAACATACGGCTGCAGTAGCACGCCTCCATTGCACTCTCTTCTCTGTAGTCTTTTGAACCTGACGCTACGACTGCCCACAAGCTTTCATTTCTTCCTCACACCATCTCCTCCATGTCACCCTCAACTGAGACGCCCAACTCGTTTCCCCTTCGGATTCCACTTGACGGCCAGGTGTGTGATGTCCCCAGTCGGCCTTCTCAGTGTATGCCCAATCCATCTTCACATTCTTCTGCATATTTGTTGTATGATAGGTTTATAACAGAATGAGTAGCGAGAACAAATATCGTATAGTGTTAGGAATTTGGTAAGGACCGTGCATGGTTGTATCTGTGCTACTTTGATAGATTTTCTACCAAATGACCATCTCTAAAGCCTGTTCCCGGTTATTTCGTGGACACGAACCAGGATGTCGACATTATTCTACACCCCGTTCAACCTTCAGAAACTTAATGGGTTTGAGTTGTTTTATTCTAGCCAACCTTAGTTCTACCCAACAGAGTCTCAATGTAACTGAAATTGTGCTCTCTGGTAAACATCAGACTGCCATGCTAAGTACGTGATAGTGTTACCTCAGTTGACCATTCATCATGATTATTTTTAGTTGCATAATCGATACAACTGCACATCTTGAGTAAGTATCGAAATGCATCAAGCACCAATATTTGTCCTCTTGATAACATCTGCATAAAGTTAGAGATTATGGGCGACAAACAAACGCACTTGATTTCCAACCATTGAGTCACGGGCTCGAACCCTGCTCCACCCATCAAGGTTTAGGCAGCTATATATCATCATCAGTCCCTATCCAAGCGTGGCTCAGCATCTACTGTACGAACATGCACATGGTTACCGAGTGCACTTCGACATATACTGTAAAGTGTAGCATCTTGAACCAATGAACATATGTGTGGGGTTCTATGTTGATTTTGTGAGTCTGTCTATTTGCACTTCGATACATAAAAGTTGAATGCAACTCAGTAACCATATACTGGTTTATATTCCAATCTGTTAACTACAAATAAGGTAAGTGACAAAATACAATTTTTGTTTCCATTTACATGAAGTGAAATATTATTTGAATTAGTTACCATGATGGACAGGAATGAGGGAAACCAGTAACTCACGGCTTCAAGTATAATTGGATGGAAGGAAGGATGACGGTATGGAAAAATAGTTATGGAACAACTGCGGAAAGTTTCAAAAGAGTATGAAGTGACAACATGATCACGTAAGTCAAAGCATCCAAATTATCTCTATTATAAATTACACCCCCAATCAACGGACGCAGAGTCTCGTTATAGCTGTTTCATAAGCCCACAGAATAACAGTGAATTATATGATGCATCAGCTTGTTTTTCTTTTAGCTTCATTCATGACATTTCAAATCACGCTAAGTGGCAAAAAAGTACCCAAAGTTTCTACTCGGAAACGTTTAGCGGATGTTCATTAAAGACTGCTTCCTGACTGTTTTTACCATAAACCCACTATGATAGAAGGCAGGACCAAATACGAGCAATGGAGTTCGCTTTCAATCCCACCTACTATCAACTCTGCAATGCAAACTTTTGCATCAGAAACGCTTCCCAGTCTTTACGTTTGACGTGAAGTGGAGTGATTGAGCGTGTCAAATACTTACCCTACATTCGAAGTCATTTCAGCCCTAATGGATTAGTGACTAACGAAATCTCGGTATAGCAACTTGCAACAGCTCGCCTTTCTCCACTGCATAGCTGTTCAAAGTTCATTGAAAGAGGAAACATTGGACGGTTCCCAGTGTTTGACCACTAGCGTCTTAGTAGCATCGGTCACGGGATAGAGTCATCATATGAACAATATGGTCAGGTGTTAAGTAAGCACCAAAGGTTTACTACGGTGAAGTTGACAGAGCTTGAAAACTAATGTATGCCGAAGCAGTCACGCATATTAGTAGCAACAGCGGGCACTGACGATCAATCAATAAATACTGCCCCGCCCCCTTGGATAAAACGACTCAACATCGATTTTACGAAATGAGATGAAAGCAATTTTATCCACTGTCTCCAGTGCTATGAAGCAATCTTTCTCAAACAATTATATTTCCAGTTTGTCATGCATTATTCAACATGAAATTACCGACCTATTTCCACCTACTTGCTTGTTACACTTATTTTGCATCTATGTACTAGAAGTTTTTTAATTTGGCAAAAAAAGGTAGTCGCAGCGACAAAGGTTTGGTAGCACTCTGAATTGCAAAAGATTACTATGTATGTTTGGTTTTACAACCTTAACTTTTTGTTCTCTCAGTGCTTGCAATCTGAAGGATAAAAATAAGGTTTCAGAAACCACTGTTACATATACCCGAACTTTTACAGCCAGTAAGTGAGGATTACAATGCTTTATTTTTAATTAGTATGAGAGGGATACCAACAAGGCCACTTCATACTTAAGCACAGATGTAGCTATGTACTAAACTCGTTAGCTTTAACAACCTTACTACGATTCTCGGCATAAATAGACAAGAGAACTTGGTGATCATTACCTTTACAAGTTTTTTAACTGAGAACAGATACTTAGGTGTATCCGTATCCTTCTCCAACTAAGCAACTGAAGTGGCTGTTGAAAGACAATCACGGAGTCTCTTCAGCTGAATACTCGGAGTAAGGGGAATGAGGGCAACTGAGCAACTGATCAGGGGAATGATAAATAGCAAGATTATTAACCGTGTGGAAAACAATAAGTAATGATAATGTAGTAATATAAGCATCTCTAAAAACAATATATCGTCAGGTAAAACTAATTCGTATCCACTATATCGAGTAGGTGACGAATATATTAAGATCAGACACAAATTATATAAGTGTAGTGAGTGATGGCGCATGTGACAGACATGACTAAATAAAAACCATGTTTTACTCACAGATGTGACTTCCAATACGGAATTTTGATGAATTTTCGGAGTACATTTCTTGGGGAGTTTCATAAAATTCTGATAAGCTTGTTCGCGCAGCTTTTCACAGTTTTCTACGTCATTATATTCTTTCGGGAGTCCTAAGGATTTAAAAAGAACAAAGCCAATTTTGAAATACTGTCAAAGACATCGGAAATATACTCTTGAAGTTTGTCAACTAGATTCCTATGAAGCTCGTTGCCATAACTCCCATGCAACAAGCCGAGCTAAAAGATTATAATGAATTTTAAAAAATACCTCATCCAAAAAACTAGAAAACTGGAATCCCAGCTGTCTTATTTCTTCATCCGAACAAAAGGTAGATTTCTGATAAAGCAATTATACCCATCTGAATTGTTTAAATAATACCTGGGAAATGATATCTCTTAAGAGTGTGGAAAGGTCTCGATAGGCGTTAGCAAGCTGTACCTATGTTTTTGGCCACAATAATTAGGACTGAAATAACAAACTTCAAGTTGGCTGACAGCTTGAAAGCCTTCGCGTAGTTGCCTGACATAATCGCCTGCCTTGCTTGCATTTTCAGATATTGCGGAAACAAGAAGTTTGGTCTACATCAACATGTTACATAAAAAGAAATTGGGATTCACATGTGGAGAGTCCGTCACAATATCATTGATTGTAAGAAGCTCAAGGCCAACCATTTTCCAATTTGCGCATCTCTCCAATTTCCAATGCCTTTTCAGAAGCTTGTGTAAACCAACTGATTTCTTTCAGTGCACTTCTAGGTCTTGCAGAACAGTTCCAGGTCCTTAATGGATTCTGATGCAGTAGGCCTATCCACTCACCTGCTGAAGCTGTGGTATACCCAACGAGCGATTGGCTGTTGATTGGAATTTTAGGCTTCAAAATGGTTCAAATGGTTAATGAAGGAATCCAAAAAACTTTCGCTTAACTGACTTTCGCATCTAGAATCCGCGAAGCACTGCCTCTTGAGGTTTTTCTTCAGTGCATAAGTAAGGAGAGAGGAAAGGCAGTTAAAATGTGAAAATTCAATTAGTTCTGACCAGATCCCACTCACATCTCAAGTAAGTATCAGCGCTGTGTTTAGAGGACTCAGACGAAGTAGTCTGGATCGAGGGTTTGACAGTTCACGGGGAGTAGAAGTTCTACCTGATATCCAACCCACTTTGTTCCAGGCTTAGTTTCTGTGTGCATCCTCTAAGATTAGTGCTGCAGTTAAGATTCTGTAAGTGACAGAGTGAGTAATCAGGGCTGCTAAAGATGTTGTGACCCATTGTCAAGTCTCCACTTAGTCTTGTATATTTTAGAGACCGTAGATACAGTTCAAACAGTCATTCTCCATACTTTTTGAACCGAAGTCATTGAACCGGTTCCAGTTAAGTGCTTCTGGATGCTTTCTAAGCTTAATTTTTCCCTCTGTGGAAAAATTAGATGTATGAGTTGTCCAAGAACTGTGGTACAGGCGTGCCCTTCAAGTGTCATGTCACCGGCCAGTTGTGAAAAGCCGTTTGGGCTCGTGTGCTGATACAGTAGTTGTTTGAAGGAGCCAGCTAGCGTGGTTGTGGCTACTTCCCCTGGCAGAGCCTTCTGCGATGCACACACTGTACGGGAAGTTAGATCCCAATCTCGCCTTTGCTCACTGGTGGGGTTCCCTTGAGAGTGGCAGTTTTGAAACGAGTGTCAACTAGTTAGGGTGGTTCACTTGGTGTATGACCTTGTAAGCCGTTATTAAATCACGTCTTTTCCCTCGATAGCCCGATACGAACAAGTTGGGTTGTTTGTGTCGTTGCACGTATGTTTTGCCCGTTAGTACTATAAACGACCATGTCGCCCCTCTCTGCACTTTCTCGACATTACTTGCACCCCTCTTCGGTAGATTCAGGGTTATGGTGCTGAGTACCTCTAGGTGTGGTCTAACATAGATTTTAAACACCATGAGGAATAATTCTGGGGTTATTGCTCAAAGCTGCCTTCTTAGAAGATGCATGATGGCGTTCGCCTTTGCTGCCATTCCCTAACACCTTGTACTAGTATCCAGTGTGCCATAGAAGTTCAGTTCCAGGTCCTTCTCTGTCGATACCCCGGTGACTGCGCACTTGCTGATGGTGTAGCTGGTTTTCATCACCTCAGGCGCGTGAAGATTCCTCACTTTGCCTTTCTTCAGCTCAAAGCTCGAACTGTTCACAGCTGACCAGGAGCTCTGCTTCAGCAGGTCGTCTTTAAGTATCCTCTTCCTTCTCTATAACCCACCATATTTTGACGTCGTCAGCAAATAGGAGGATAGACGAGATTTTAGCCGGAAGGCCATTGATGAATAGTAAAAACAGTTGCGCAAGGACCACTGTTCGAGAAACTCCTGTTCTTGAACTCCTCCAGAGCGACCAAATTCTACCTACTTTAGAGCAGAATTCTCCGTTATATGCACAAGCTGTAAGTCATGCTACGAGGAGTTCACTGATACCAATGTTTGCAAATTTAGCGAGCATGGTATGGTGCGCGACGCTATCGGAAGCTTTGACCAAGTCCTGAAAGATTAGGTGGGGTGGTTACTTGTTGTCTTATCTGATGGTTCAGTCATCCCAAGCGGTCATCAAATTTGTAGCACATGACCGTCTGGTTGTGAAGCTGGTTTGGGTTGGATGAACGTTGCATTTTCCGTTTGGGTAGTCCCAAACGGCACCTTGAATCAGGTTTTCCAGTGCTTTGTAGAGCACATGAAGTAGCGTTATTTATCTGTAGCTGTACCAGTTTTTCAGTCTCCTCCTTTAGAGATTGCTTAAAGAAGAGGACGCTTCCATTCCTTGGGGGTTGCTTTACTTTCAACGAGTGCGTGGACGAATTTCATATGAGTGTACCTGACACTGGCACAGTTCTGTAGTGTCACCAATTTTATGTCTTCATAGCTGGGGTCTTCCCTATTCTGGGCATTAAAAGTTTCGCAAACGCTTGTTTTGATGGGATCTTCACGTGCATCAGCTCGCTATCGAAGTCCTGGAACTCTGTTACGTTACTGGATGCCGGTGGTGGACGCATTACTGTGTTCAGCTGCCAGCCAAACAGGCTGCTTAACTGTTCCACTACCTCACTGTTATTAAAAGATTCTCCGTTCCATCCTGTGATAAGATTCAAGGCTTTCTTCATCGACTTTCGTTTCGGGATAAGTAAAAACAGGCTTTTTGGGTCACAGCTTAGCCGTTTGGCCAGGTCACTCTGGTATTTGTACCCGTCATTAGGAACGCTAACATTACGTGAGTTGCGTGACTTCTTATGAACAAGAAAGTCTGACTCCTTGTGTGATGTACTCCACCTGTACCATGCCTTCTTTTTCCTCTTTATTTGCCTTCGGGTCGTGCAAGTAACCCTAGACTGTTTGACAGGTGGTCACCTGGCCAATTTCGGGACACTTTTCGATAGCCCTCCGGGCAATATCTTTAATGTGTATCTAGCGTTCGTCTGCCGATAGAGGGTGCCATTCTTGCGTCCTTGTAGCCTCCACGAGTTCATTATTCATCATCTGGTAGTTTTTCTTCCGGTAACAGCGAAACGCTTGTGGGTCGACTTTTGATATTTTCCCCTGGCCATCAAAAAAGGTCTCAAGAGTGCGTGATCCCCTTTGACCAGGGGGGCTGGGCACAGGCATCGTCTGCCAAAAGTTTACTGTCCGTTAGAACATAGTCAAGTCTAATTCTTTTCCATAGCGTCCCCATCGGCTGTTTTCCCTAAATTTCTCTATAAGTTCTTCTGCAATAATGTGTTTTGAAGTCCCTGTTCGAAATATTTATGTCGGCAGCCTAAGTCTCATCCTGCATTAAGTGTCAGTGTGTTGAAATCTCCAGTGAGGACTGCGTGGTCTCAGGCTGCAGAGGTGGATGTCGAAGTTGCTGTGAGGAGTTGTGCATCATGTTCCGTTGTTCAGAGAGGAGTCTAGTATACCGCTCCTAGAGGACGTTTTGTTCGGTTTGTGGTGAAATAGCATAACAAGGAGCCTGGCAATTGGCTAGACACATTATAGACTCCTCGACTTTCAGGTGCATGCTAATGCATGTGGCCAATCTACCGCTTTAGAATCGCCTGTCTTTTCTAAACAAGGTCATGCTAAATTCAGATATTTCCCGGCTTTGAGACGTCTGATGAAAGCCGAGTCTCCATAATTTAAATAACATCTGCTTGCAGACGACAGCACACTACTCTTAGCTCCAGTAGTTTAGTGTTAAGACCTTCTACGTCACCGCAGAAGCATGTCAGGAAGCTGCGTCCTGGGCTTAGTCCAGTGCGGGAACTTATGTGGGAGACCATTGTGCTTTTGCATTGGATTCCACTTTCCAGCCCCGACTGGACTGGATATTGTGGATCGCAGGTTGTATCGGCCGTTGACCTACGTACCAAACAGCTAGAGAGAAAATAGTGGCGGCCAAAATAGGGATACGAAACTGTTTACGATAAAACTTACACCAGCGGTGTATTTTGGCGTCAAGTCGGCGTTTAAAGGATTAAGTTCAGGTAGCCTGGACGAACTTCGCGGTAAGATGGTCCCAAGTTTCAAACAGTCTTATGAAGTATAGATCAAATCTGATATCCAAACTGCTGTTTGAGGATTAACTTCTGTTTGTGCCCTCTGGGGATATTGCTACGACAAAGGTCACATAAGTGAGAAGGAGAATGTCTAAGTGCGTTTAAGAATTGTGAGACATTATCATGACCCCTGTCAGCCTTCCGTATTTCGGGGGATATAGACCAAGCACTGCCAGTCGTTCCGCTTGTCTTCAGCCCAAGTCCCCGGACAGAATCTGTCGACGTGTTGTAGATACATCGCCGCTTAGTTTATCTTCCTGGAGTAAGGGAAGGCTACAGTCCAGGTGTGATGTTCGAGGTACAGGGGGCTGCCGAAAATCTGACGGAAGCACCTACGGCAAACGGTCAAGAAATCCATCCGAGAGTTGCTAAGGCCAACTTTCCACGTACGCATCCCCGTCACAACTCGCACATTTTAAGTTCTGAATGTCAAAAACTCCCAAATTCTTCACCTGGGACGCCACTTGTTCTGGGCTGCTGAGACTGTGTTGATATGCGTTGCCCAAGTGGTACACAAACCTGAATTTTGCAGTATCAAATGCAAGCTAATCTTCGAATGCCCAGTATTGAAGTAGCGTTTGATCTGACCGAATTCCGATTTCTCTACATAGCTTTGCTTCTTTGATGAAAATAAATTTTCACACAGAGTATTCGGTTACTATTTCACCTACTTGGACTGCTCAGTATGTGAAGTTCAAGTGAGAAAAGTCTAAATCCACTCGTCGTAGGGTCAGTTTTCCCTGTATGTCTCAAAACAAACATCACATACCTAAAAACTCGTATGAACATCACGTAAGACAGTCAGAACAGTCATTTTTATGTGCATAAATTAAAGTGTACATACAGCTCCGGCGAGTCAAAGAAGATGGGAACTTCTCTCCTCCCATAATGTCTCAAGTGGTGTACCACTCTTCGGCTTCCAATAGTGCTTTCCTTTTCTTTCTCTTTTCAAAACAAACTCGAAGAGAAAACCTTAAGCATAGGTTTGACCAAAAATATCAACATACTGAAAATACTACCTCGTACGTGAAGTTAGAAGTTATTGAAAGAATTCTTCGACTGGTTTGCCCTAAGAGTTTTCGACTTTCTGAGAAGGCTGACGGTAAACTCACCTGCTTACCAACATCTAAA